ATAACCAAAAGCATCTTATCATAATTTGTACATCAACCATTATAATGAAATCAATAAACAAATACGAGACAATTTTATAATAGTTTAAAGGGTCTGAAAATTGTAGTGTTTAACTTTAAAATCCCAGTGTTAAATCTTAAAAACCTGCCTTCATAAATATTGAGTGAGTAAGTGAGGGCAATCACGAAAGAGGTCAATAAACATTTTTTCGAGAGCCCCTGGATGAATACTTTATGCAAGCGCCTCTGACATTCTGAATGCGTGTGTTTGTGTACTGCAAACAGAAGCAACAGCAAAAGCAACACGACCACAATTAATATTGCCTTTATTTTTATTGTAAGCTGTAAATTTTTGAAACAACGTTGCCGCTGACATCGTTCGACGCTGACCTTCTCAAGTTTGTTTGTTTGCCTTGTTGGCGCACAGCTTTTGATTTGCTGTTGCTTTTTTCAGATGCTTTTGCTTTTGCTTTGTGCTGTTGCTTTTTGCCTTTTGTTTTTGCTTTTGCTGCATGCGAGCGAATGGAAAACGAACTGGGGCCAAAGTTTTATTTGTTTGCCTGGGACTTCCCTTTGCCCCTTCGAAACGCTGCGTGCAAGTCTCTCGAAATAGAAATCCATTGGGTACGCCTTGTGGAAAATCAATTTCAATTGTCTCGCACTTATCAAAAAAGTATAAAAAATCGTTTTCGGTTTTTCATTTTCATTTGCACTTAGCAATTGAAAATTTCAATTGTAAATAATTGTTTAATTATCGACAATTGCAGTTGGACTGACTGAGACTGTTCATTCCACAGACAACAAAGCGTTCATTTAGCCAGCCTGCGTCATGGTTCACCGCCCCCCCCTTACCCCCTTTAAACCACCCACTGAACCACCCATTAAAAGGCCATAAACCGAAATCTGAGTCATGGACTGCGGTTATGGAGAAATATGTGCATGGCTCTATATATATATATGGGATAATTAAAGACCCGAGCCAAATGCCAAATGCGATGTAATTACCATGTATTTCACTCGATGCGTATGTCTAATTAACCACACGGCGTATACGCAATCCATATTACGTACACGCCGTGTTGTCTACAGGTCCATTATGTACATAAATTATACATCAATCAGTAGTGGATATATGTATGGCAGGCCTAATCCGATTGCATTTGCTTCCCATTGAAAGCATTTCTTTCTCTGGTATCGGCTATCTGGATTTGCCTAGCTATCCGTGCACTGAAAACATATATTTCAAGTGATTTTGGTAAGACCTTATAACACTTGCTTCATATTTAAAAAAAAGTGATGGAAACCTACAGCCTACAGCTTAAAAAATGTTTAAGAATTTTTGTTTAAATTGTTCATAGTAGTTAGAAATAGTTAAATATCCACACAGAGAAAATACCAAGAACATTGTTCTTGAATTAGAACATTCGTTCTTAAAACCCGTGTAAGTACATTTTGGTATCAATGTTCTCAATATTAGAACGAATGGTAAGAAGAAAAGTTAAATTAAGTTATTTAAAACTTAAAAAAAAATAAATTTATTTCAACTTATTAGCAAAATAAAAACATTTTCCACTTAAAAATGTCGTTCTTTTTTAAGAACATTTTCAATTCAGATAAGAGTCATAAAGCCCTAAAGTGCATATGTATCTATAACCAAAGTACTCCTAATATTTTCCAGTGCCTGTCTCAAAGACCTGGGCAATCTCTGCGGGGCTACTCAAAACTAGTTATGTCTGCAACTGCAATTGTCTGCCGTCCGTCATCTTCTCTGCTCCACTTGGCATTATTTTCCAGCTCTAACTTTCCAATCGCAGCCACTAAAACACTCAAAGTTTGTCGGTTGCCCCCTCCCTCGGTTATCCAAGATACCATTTCATGAATATACTACCAAGACGACATCATAATTTGGCCCAACCTCGGAGCGCATGACAAGTTGAGCCTGCCAGGCGATCCGATGGCCATGTTCAATCCAACTCCATTGACTGACAGCCGCTTTGTCTAGCTGCTCGGGCCAAGACTTTCACCAAAAAAAAAAAAACAAGCAGCCAAATGAAAAGAGTGGCGAAACAGAGAAAGACAAATGAGATAGGAGGAAAACCCTAACCTACCGCACCTCAAAAGCTGGGATCTCAAAAGAAAGGCAGTTAAGGCCAAAGCATAAAATGGCCGTAATCAAAACAAATCAGCGAACGTAGTCTCCATCGTGCTGGGCCATCAATCATGGCCAAAATGAAACGGTCTTCGGTCGTCGACGGAGTTGAATGCGCCAAAACGCGTCGCAGACAAAATAAAAGACTACACACAAATAAAGAAATCCAAAACAGTTGCCATCCCGCGATACCCTCTCTGCTATATCCCCAAAGTTATGGCCAAAACACACACATTCAGGCAACGAGTTGTGGTCAGAAAGTGTGGGTAAGAGAAAGAGAAAGAGAAAGACTATCGGTGGCACAATGAAGTGTTTAGTAAACAAATTGCGGTTGCCTTTTGATAATACGCAGCTCAGCTTAGCACTCAAATGGAAGCTGTGAGGAGCTGGCTCCTTTGTGGTGGGAGTTAAACGATGCACAGCCAAGTGGGCGTGGCGGAATGGGGGTGGTGGTGGGTGAGTGGGTGTGCGATGATGAGGCGGGATGAGCAACGTTATAAGTGCATTGCACCGAAATATCGATTGACGGAGCAGCTGGAGCAGCAGGCGGGCAACAAAAGACGACAATCAACGCTGGCGGGTTCAGACATTCAACTTAAAATGCGTGTGTGTGCACTGAGATTAAGTTTAACAACATTAAGATGAATAATAGTATTAATTAGTTGGTGAAAAGGCATAAAGAAATTAAGACTCCTCAGGGTTCTTATAATAAATCAAAAATGTTTAATTGGCTAATATTTCTGACAATTAGCTGGGTTTCTTGGCTGAGGCTGAAAACGATTTAAAAATAGAACACACTGCAAAGGGGTCTGAAAAAGACGCCTCTACAATTTATGGGTCACTAAAAAGCTTATACATTTCAACAAAAATAAGACAAGTTCTTTTTATACTCAGAAAAAGCTTTTAAATTGGTGATTTGCAGTGACTGACCTGCCTATAAACAAAAATAAACAAGCTATGCTACAGATCTAAGATCTTTTAATATTCGTAGGAATAGTATATATTTAGGTATTTGAATACCTTGAAAAGTATACCTATAAACGATAAATAAACCAATTAACCCTAGAGATCTAAGTAAATATCCCACCTAACTGCTTTTAATATTCGTAGCTATACTACAATATATAGTTACCTTGAATACCTTGAAAAGTACTTAGATCTATGTAAATACCGCTGTTAAAAATTCCCCAAATTCAGGTCACCTTTTTCCCTCCGTGCAACCGCTCAAAGTTTGCTGGGGCATATTAAAAGGACATTGAATGTGCGCGGGTGGTATGATGGCCTCCAAGGGAAGGGGCTGGGGTTCCAGTTCGGTCGGTTGGTTGGGCGTTGGCGTTGGCGCTTGACGGCATCAACGTCACGCAAAAAACCAAAGGGAAACCATAAACTCAAATTAATGACCTCGCCAGGGGGAGTCAAAGAGTCAGGGAAGGGGTTCGGGGTTCGGGGTCCCGAGTTCGGAGACAACGGACAAATGCTGAAAGGCGAGACAGAAGCCAATAAGACCTGCAAGAACAACAATACCCAGGGCAAGGGGACCAAAAAATATAATAATAACAAAAAGAATGCCAAGACAAGGCGAAAAAAGAGCCAACTAAAGTCCAAGTCTGGGCGTGATTTACCGTTAACAGTTTTGTTGTGGTTGAAAATTAATCTTATTGCAGGCGATTTCACTGCGATTTTCACTGCACCGCACTACTCACTCATACAGGCCCCAAAAAAAAAACATATAGATGGTAGATATATACAAATTGGAGCTGCTCCAGAGCAAAAGCGGCAGATGGTCATGGAGAATCGGCTCAGTTGGCTCCGTTGGCTCCGTGATTATGCAGTCGACGTCGCTGCCACATCGTAGTCGTCGTCGTCGTCGTCGTCACAGTCGATTTGTTGTCAAACTGGTTTTACAAATATTTTGCGTTAATCTGGAAGCCCCAGCGATGAGGCGGCTATAGAAGGGGGCGCAGCAGCAGCAGTTACATTGCAGTCAAGTAAAGCTCAGTGAAAGTCGGCAGTCCCCCTCGCCGAAAAGCAAACCCCGCCAATCCAACAGTTTCCCCCTTTTCCCAGCCAGCCAGCTAGTTAGCTCGCAGCACATTCAATTAGATTTAGTATAGGTATAGCTATAGATATAGCAATAGCTTCCCCCTGTCTGTTGGATTTCAGCTCATTCATGGCTCGGTATTTACAGCCAATTATGAGACAAACAAGTCCAACTCGCTGTTCGGCGATGTCATCGTGACACGAACAAGATTCTTGGGATTATAATCAATATTTGGAAAATGATAGCCAATTATGGCCATGTAAGAGGAGCCTAAAGGGTATATTGGGGGAAAGAAACTTGCGTCGTATCATATTTATGTAAAATCATTTCTTAAGCATCCCATCCCATACTCATACTAAACATTTTAAGCCAATCAGATATCACTGCAATTGGTTACAAATAATATCATATACAAATATCATATTGAAAGTTTTAAAGTACGATGCTCTATGTTTTAAGGATTTATCCTCTAACAATCATTAAAAACCAACTGGAAATGGTTCGAAACGCTACTATATAACAGTTCTAACTTTCCATCGAAATAAATGGAAATTTTGTAATAATACTTTTCTAAGTCAGAACTTAACACTCTAACAGTTCTTGTTTATTATCTTTTCTTTAGTTTATCAAAACGATACTGTATAAAATTTCTATCTTTCTATCGATAATAAAAATGGAGTGTTGTAATAATACTTTTCTAAAGTCAGAACTTAATACATTTTCACAAGTTTTTGTTTATATCTTTATCTTTAGTTAACCTCTTAATTGTACGTATTTGTTGCACATCTTAAAGTCGACTTAATAGACTCACCTGGGCATTAAAGTCGAAAAGGTATTCGGGGCGCAGCGGACACGGCAGGCCGCACTTGCAGGTACCCTGGGTGAGGAGATAGTCCTTGATCTGGAACTGCGTGCGCAGCGTTTTGCCCGAGGGGCTGTGAAAAGGGTTAAAAAGATAAATGCATTAGTGGATGGGCGAGATTAATTAATTGAAGGCAGCCCGGTCATGCCGTTATTCACCAGCTAAACGCACAATTTGTTTTATGGAAATTATGCAATTACCAAGGCCAGACACCCACCCACCATAGAAGACTATACCAATATCCCGGGGCAATTAGCCGCAGTTAAGTGACTACAGAGGCCAATGGATAATGGTCGAGTGCTTGATTAACAGCTCATTAACATAATGGGCATTAACATGACAATGTAAAGTGATTCGCGCATAAATTAATTCCAATCAGAAACGATCGTATGGCAAATAAGTGCGCGTCGATCTGCGCACAATTCAAACTGGTTTCGCTTTTGCGTTATATAAAGTTATTTGAGACCCTTTCTGGAAACTACGTAATGATACAGTTGGCATTCTTCGAGGAACTCGGAATCTGTGACTGGAATTTCGGGGTGATGTGTCTTGAGAAAATGCGCAACAGATATATGTACTTAAAATGCGACAAAGGCCCATCTTGGGGGAAACTCAACATCTGCGAGAACAAAGACAATCTCATCCATATGCACATATTTAGCGATCCGACAAAAAAAACGCGCCTATGCGCCATAAAAATTATGAAAAGGCAAAAAATTGATTTAAATTTCGGTCATTTAATGCCTAAAAAGGAAGGCAAGAAACCCGGCGAATCCAGTTTTAATAATGCCAAGCCCCTTGCGAAATGGAACGGGCGGTTTTCCCTTCACAACACAAGAGTTAACCCTTTAAAAAACCCGCTCAACTCTCCTCGCCCTTCCCACCAATCAGGCCACGCATGACCGCAAATCTGCCGACATAAATGTGTTGTCGCATGAGCTGGGGTTACTTCGATATACATATTACCACAAAAAAACACTCGTACGCAAAATAAAGAACAAAAACAGAACGAAACCAGAGGGGAACAAAAAAATCGGAGCTGCTTATAATTGTAAAGTGTGAGCACGTTGAAGGAATCAAGGGCGCTGATGATGACGCCGTCCGAGGAAAGCGGGAAAGGGAGCTGGATCTGAAGCACTCGTACTCGAGAGACTGATGCCAGGGCTCAAGTTCGCCACAGCACCTCACTTCCTCTGACCCTGGAGAACTGAAGGTCCACACAGAAAAAAATATGTCACCTATAAGTAATACAAAAGGTAATACGATGTACTTCTGTTGCCCCCAAAACATATTAGTAATATGATATATAAAGTATCATATGATATTACTAATATTAATATTAGTATATTCTTATGATCTTTAAAAACAAGTTTCAGAACCAACTATTTTATTTCCAAATATTTAAAAATATAGGAAGACTGTTTATGATATTTTAGATACGATTTTTAAAATATGTACAAAAATTAGATTGTGATGTTGGAAACCATACCATACTTTGTTAAATAGAAATTTTCATAATTTCATCTTCATACATTTTTAAGACGAGTTTGTTTATACAATTACCCTAAAATTTCCAAAATTATATGTTTTTCTAAGCGTAAATATTTTGAAAACGGATTTTTTCCTAAATACCTTAAAATTCCCAAATTCAGGCATTTTTCTCAGCGTGTTGACGTTTCAAGACCGTATGGGAAATCTGAATAATGCATGAAGTGTGAAAGCGGCAAGGGCATTAAATGAAACGACGACGACAGCAACAGGAGCTGTGAGCTCTGAGCTCTGAGTTGGGAGCTGGAAGATGGTATATGGTATATGGGAGCCGGAGGAACAGAGCAGCAGAGACAACAATATAATTGAGCGACAGCAACATCAACAGCAGCAACACAGGGACGACAGCAACAGCAACAGCAACGAGAATCGTGTTACGGGTTAAACGAGTATGCGAATTGTCAATTGAGTAGCCCTTTAGCTGGCCAAACAGGAGATGCCTCCGCATCTCATCTCATCTCATATCATCCCAGTTCCCAGTTCCCATTTCCAAGTTCCCAGTTGCAGGTCCGCAGCATAATCATCATCATCAATGGGGTAAAGGAAACTGGTTCTGGTTTGTTTATTAATTATTTTTACTACTTACGAGGCCAGAGCTTTATGAGCGACTGAGCCACGTTCGAGATTGGAAAAATCGATGGCAAGTCGATTGCCAGACATCACGAAGGACTCCGAGTGAGAAAGGGAGAGAGCGAATCGATTGAGCGGGACGGCGAATCATCAACGCCAAAAGCTTATGGCTCAATTTGTATGCAGCTGGCGTGGCGAGAGGCTTAAGAGCCCACCGCTTACTGCTTACTGCCTGCCACTTACCACCGCAGTTGAGGCAGTTGAGGCAGCAGGGCAAACACGCAGCAGGAATCATGCACGGCGAGAAATTAATAGGGCTCAGGGGGCATTTAAAATCAACGCGTTGCAACAACATACATAATTACAATCCATTTGGACCAGTTTAGCCATTAAAAGTTAAAGTTCTACATTATAAATATCCCATTATGAATATAATTCCATAAGTATTCCACTTAAAACCAGTTTATGTCAGTAAGGACTTAAGTCTTTTTGTTATAAATGCTATGTATGTTTATTTCTAACATTTTAATCTTATACAGCAACTAATTTTGAATTTCAAAGATATGCATATTATTTTTCATGTAATTCTGGCATAAAATAATTTTTTCAATGCAGCTTTAATTGCGTAGACTTGATATTGACATCAAAGGTGTACAAGTAGTAATAAAGCCACGATTTTTATTTTCTCTGTGGCAGACGAATAACTCGGCAACTCATTAAATTTTTTCTTTACCTCGTACTTTGTTTTTTGTGGTATTTGCACAAAATGCGCTAATAATGTGAGTGGTTGCATGGAACTCTTTGCCCTCCAATCCCTGCCAGTCCACCCCATTTTCCCCGCTCTGTGGAAACATGAAAGGCGTTGGGCTAACGAGTTAAAATAATTTAATAAATTGCACACACAAAAAGCCAAGTGCCAAAGAGTTTGCTGTGGAGTGGCCATCGCCCATAGCCCATCAGCCATCCCGCCCATCGTCTTGAAAAGACCCTATAACTGTGTGAAAAGGTGGAAAAGTTTTACGCCCCTGTGACCTTGAGTGCACCCTCGAGCGCAGAAAAAGAGTTGAAAGTGCAGACAGCTGAGACTGCAAATGGGATTGCGATTGGGAGTGGATTGGGTGTTGGGTGTTGGCCTCCAGCAGGGCCTGAGCCTATTACTAAATTAATAATCCCAAACAGCGCAAACACAAAACCGACAGCTCAGCGCACAGCAACAGCAAGAGCGACTTAACTTGGGCCAAAGGCAGTGGGCCAGCTACGCTGTGGCGCATGAAACTGTAAAAAATTATCGCACAAAGCCAGCCAGACAGAGGCGGAGGCCACTGCCCGAGGAGGGGTCTTAACAGGCCGATAGGCAGACACACCGACAGACAGTCCGACCGACGGGACATCCTTTGGGCCTGGACTTTATCCGTTGTCCTTGTGCCGTCATGTCCTTGACAACGCGAAAAGAAAGCGAGGAGCAGGCGGCCCACAAAAACGAACGAATGCGGCCAATCGCAAAATGAATCATGCCCACGCTGAAAAAATATGATCCCAAAAGGCCTGTTTATTTTCAGAAATCAACGCTTTAACACCCTACTCAAATGTTTTGATATTATTAAGCTATATAATATCAAAGGATGTATTCTATGTTTAAGCAACAGATTTCTTGGGTCTTCCATTAAAATCTGAAACAATATGATATAAGTCCCAAAAATAATTATTTTCTGTAATTATATGATTATAAAGAAAATTATTTAAGGAATGATTTTATTGAGTTTATTAACAAAACAATTGATATAATTTCCAAATAAAAGATTTACGATACGATAGGTAGTAAATACATTTATATATAATCTGGGATCTATAATCTTTGTTTAAACACTATATTTTTTAGGGTATTATTAGGGTATTATTGAACAAATAACTTCACAGAATCCCGAAATATTCCAAAAGTCAGATTTCAGATTATGATAGCAGGTAAATACATTTATATAAATTGAGGAAACATTATAGAAAGACAACTGTTAGTCAGCCAAATTTAATCTGGCGTTTAATTCCCAACTCTCAAGCTCATTATCGCCAACTCCCATGAGTCAAACAAGGCTTTTGGGGTAAAACTTTCCTAGGGGTTTTCCCACGATATCAGCAACGACAAGTTCGCATGGTGGGCGTTGACCAAAGTCGACAAGTCGTAGAGCCAGCGCTAAGCTGGCGGATTCGCAACAAATGCCTAAATGTGAGTAAAATAAACACATTTCAAAGGTCTCCCGTCCGTCGGTCTTTTTATCTGTCTGCCACTCTGGCTGAATGACTGACGGACAATGGAGCGGAGCGGAGGGATTCGGAGGTGGCCTAGACAAACAGAGGAGGGACCAACTGCTGATGCAACCTACGCGTCCGCTGAAAGGTTCATCGCGAGGTAGGAGGGAATTTGTAAAAAAAAAGCAGGCCTCGTGGCAGGGTGCACATGCATATATATACCTATGTACCTATACCCATACGTTAGTTGGGAAAATTGAAAACTGCTTGAATCGCTGGCAAAACTATTCCGCATTCTTTACAGCCTTTTACAGACTGGCGGGGCGCTTCGACCCGTTTTCGTTTCCACTCGATTCGATCGGCGATCTCCAGCTGCCGTTTTGGATTTATGATTTATGCGCCCGTTGCCGCACAGTGGGCGTCCTTCCCTGACTTCATTTGGCTTTGACCCGGTCACAGTCTTTACTTCGCCCTCTGCTGATGTCACGTTGCGCCAGGCCATTTAGCACTTGAGCACACAACAACGGGCACAGCAGCTAGATTTAAATGCTTGCGCAACAATTATTGATTTAGTACACAATTTGTGCAACATTCTTTCCAAGAAATAGCCGAAACGAAGCCAGCGCGGCAAGGACGGAAGCTAAACAAAAAGCGGTATTCATGGGGCCAGAGCTGACGGTTTAGCTACTTATGGGTCTAGAAATACTATCTATAAATATATATCCATTTATTAGACCATTTCCTGACCTCATGTTAAACTAAAAGTAGGTTTTAAACTATTAAACATATAAGAGTTATTATTTATCCTACGCCTGTTAACTTAAAGATAGGCTTTAAATCTATAAAACGTAAGAAATAGGAGTTTAACACTCGAACGAGTAATGGGACCTTAGAGTTTAAAACCTACTTCTAATTAACACGAGGTCGAAAAACTGCTATTGTCATTCAAATATTATTAGGTAGGATTAAAATCATCTTGCAGAATCTCTTTCAACTTCATTGTAAACTTGGGTAATTTAAATGGGTTCTTTAAGGATCTTTTTATATTTCATTGAATTGTATAGCCAAAAGACCCATATCTTATTTGAATGACCGGTTCGAGTACAACAAAAGACGAAGCTACCCTTGTTTCACCCTTTTTTTGTGCAATACCTTCTAAAATATATTTTTTTTGCAAAATTTCAGCAATTGTTGTCACCCAAAGTCGGACAACACCGCTGGCAAACCGACGGGTTATCTGGCTTACCGAAACACGAAAAAGAATGCTCGCCTGGAAAATTTGCAAGGGGGCCATGGCGACCATCCGCTTGGGCAAACAGCAAATGGCAACCAGTAACCAGCGACCAGCAACCAGCAACCCGATGGAACCCAGTGAAACCCGGCAGCAACACGCAACGTGGAAATGAGCAGCAGCTGCTGTAGTTGGCTGTAGTTGCCGCTGGTGGTGGACAATGACAACGCTTGACACACGATGTCATGTCGTCGCTGGGCACAAGTAAATACCAGTGGGCAAAGGACGTGGCAGCCAGCGGTGCCCTCAAAGTGTGTCCTTCCATGGAAGGGTAATGGCCCAGAGAGTGACTAGCTGGCTGGCTGAGTGAAATGTGACATTGCCGGTAAATGGACTGCGTCGGATAAGCTTCTTGACGCTCTACACAAACTACGTGAGTGGAGTTCTAAAACCCAATAATCATAACGATGGCTGTCATAATGAGAATCTCGGCTTGAACTTGAAAAAGCAAACACAATATGCCTCCTGGAAGCTTTCAATTCGCCAATTGAGCGGGCTATTCGCAACCATAATCCATGCAAGTGGTTCGAAAAGCAGTTATCCCAAAGTCACAGTCAGCACAGACAACCCTTTTCTACTTTCCTGGGCAATTGAGCCCCGGGGCAACAGCTGCGAGGGAAACTATCCCAGAACGAGACGACGAGTCAAGCACTCAGAAGTGCCAGCCACTTATAAAATCAACAATTACCCAACATCGGCAACACAGCCACAAAACTCGCAAACTGTTTGCACAGAACCCAAAAAAAAAAGCAGAAAAAGATACTGAGCCCCCCTTTTTGGCCCTGAGGCAAATTGGACAGCGAGAACAATTACAAGTACCCAGGCGAACCAGGCAGATATATCCACATACTCAATGCTTTTCAACATATCTGAGTAAACATTTTATTTGAGTTTGTAATTATGTGTGCTTGATGATAACTCGCAGATAATGCCAGGTAAATATTTACCCCCGAGTTGATGGTTGCTAGTCGTAGTTGTTGTTATTGTGCCTCGGTTGCAAAAACATTTCTGACACGACTACTGCAACCCCCCAGACGCCCACTAAACAACATGCGAACCCCCATCCACTGCCGCCTCTGACCCCTTGGACAGTGGCATTTCCTGTACCGAGAGGGGATCGCTGAACATTTTTATGGCTTCTCGAATGCGTTTGCGTTTGCCAGACAATAACCAGATTGACTTTTAGCCCGGGCCCCCAAAGTGCTGTAAATGTCATGTTCGTAGTACAACACAGCCCTCGGCCACAGAATCAACAAGCTTTTGCCCCCGTGAAGAGTGCTCAACCAGTAGATATCCTGTAACCGCAGATGTTCCCTGATATTTCCAGATATTCCCCGATGTTCCCTGATATTCCCCGACTGACTGCTCACCTGATGTAGGCCACCTCATTGTTGTTGGTCAAGCGACGCCAGCCAGGGGCCAAATTTCCATTGTACGTGGTCGTAGTCTTCCTGTTGCCATTGCTACTGGCATTTTTGGCTTTGGCAACATTCTTGGCATAGAGCTGATTGTTCTGACTCATTTGACGCGATGCAATTGTTGTCGGCATGCAATGCGTTGCCCCAGCAGCAGCAGCAGCAACAGTTGCCGCCGTTACTCCAGCCGTTGCCGTTGACTTTATTGGCAACTTTATTTGCGCCTGGCGCTGTTTGTTTGTTGCTGTTGTTGTTGCTGCTGCTGCTGCTGTTGGTGTTGCAGCAGGAGTTGTTGCTGGTTGCTGGTGGGGCAGACAAATATATGCTGCTGTTGCTGACTGGCGCGCTGTTGCTGCTGCTGCAGTTGATTGGATACTTGCATCATGTTGCCGCTGCCATTGCCATTTACCAAGCCAGCTGGTAATATCTGTTGCGTATGCTGCTGCTGCTGTAGTTGCTGATGTTGCTGCTGCTGCTGCTGCACCGTTGCACTTGTAACGACCCGCGATACAAATTTCGTCTGTTGCTGCTGGAAAAACTGATGATGTTGCTGCTGTTGCTGTTGCTGATGTTGGTGCAACGGCAACATTTGCTGCTGCTGCTGTTGGTGATGCATCTCGCCGACCACTGTCTCAGCACTCCCAGCAATATTCAGTTTGTGCTGGTGCTGATGTTGCTGCTGTTGCTGGCCAGCAGATGCGGCGGCCATGGCGATAACAGCAGCCGTTTAGGAGCTCCTTCGCGATTCAGGGCCTGCAAAGAGTTCAGGGAAATTTACCATTAATCACAGTCAGTGATAGAATCTTTAGATTCGGAGAATAATCAATTAAATAGAATTTAGTTGCTTTAAAGTACTATAATCCTACATAAATACTATTCCTTTTAAAATTTATTTTTTTTAATAATGGTATAGTCAATGAAAGAATCTTTAAATTCAAAGATCTTTTATTTTAATTGCATATAATATTGATATTGTGAAAAGGTTGTTACTTTAAAACGAGTTTAATGTTTATATCTTAAAGGGAAAGGTCTGCATTTCAATAATATTCATAGTAACTTTAAAGATATATCCATTCCTATTGACCTATCCAACTTTATAGCCGATTAATCCCTATTTGGTTTCAGTGGAAATCTTCTTGGCATGACACAATCATCAGAGGGCTTTGTCTCTGGGTTTTCGGTTGACTCAGGGGCCTCAAGTTTAATCGAATGGAATTGCGTTGCGGCCTTTGTTTTCCTCGGCAAGTTGACCACTTACAAAACTAGCAAAAATAGAATTGAAAGCCAATCAGCGTTTATGCGCTGCGCGTGTAATGAACATGGAAGTGGTCTAAATCTGCTTTATCCGCCATCTCACGCACATCCATTCCATGGAGCCATGGAGCAGAGACAAACCCACAAGGTCGTAAACCCGTACTCGCACTCAAATAGATACTGCTAACTGGACGATCGTATAAACGACAAATTGTGGGCCGCACCTTTTGGTATTTCGTTATTTATGCGTTGTTAAGTCTCTCCCCCTCCTAATTCCGCTATCCGCTCACCTTTTAGCGTGCTTTTCGCTTTGCTCATTTGCCAGCATATTAAATTAATTTTGAGTTATTGTGTAAACGAGACGCGGCCATGTCATGTTCATGTTTTTTATGGTTTCTTTTCTTTTAAAACACTTAATTTCACTTTTTTTCTTTATTATTATTATTTTGTATGCCACTCGGCTTCTTTTTTGCTGTAATAATGCGACAACGACTTTTGCGTTTTGCTGCGTGTGTTGCGGTGTTGCTTGTACACGGTGATAAAGCTGTTAGAACTTTGATAGATGTTTAAGTAGATTTAATAATTATGATAACAATGAAATATTATTTTAAAAAAATTTAATGATATTTCTGAAGATGTAAAATACATGTTTAGAGATAAGCACTTATTGAATCGTTTTAGCTTAAGAACAGGAATATTTTTGATTACGTTACAATAATCTAAAGGCCCTATATCAAGGTAAAACTGGTCTATACTTTCAAGTCAAAGAAAATCACCTTATGCATATATTATTTTTTGCCACTTTTAAGCCATTTTTGAGTAGATTTTAATGTTTGTTTTTAATATTTCTTTGGGTGTACAATCTGCTCATGACTTCATTTGGAATTCAGAAAACGAACGTCAGCAGTGGCGAATGAAGAGTGGAGAGCAGAGAGCGCAGAGCGCGTAAAAGTAGGTGAATGGAGCATGAAGACACCAAAGCAGAGAGCGAGGAGAGAGCGCGAGGGGAGGAGGTGGCACATCACCCACACCACTGCTACCCCACTCTCTCTTTCCCCCACTCCGCCCCCTCTCTCCGTCACTCTCCTGCCTGTGTTTTTACTTTGGCACAATTTGCAGACCGTTTTTTAAGTAGTATAATTAATGCGTGCTTATTTGTTTGTTTCTGTACGACGGTGGACAATACACCACCACCTGCCCTGTGGTTCTGCTCCGGCGATCAGCGCACAAACAAGACGGGGAGAGGGGAAGGTCGGGGGAGAGCAGCTGTTCGCCTTGGGCAGTGGGATGAAAACGAATATTGGTGGCTATCTTGGTGCACTGGTATGGGTATTGGGCAATCGCACAAACACACACACAACACGCGTGCCTATGCTGCGGTTTACTGCTGCTGCTGCTGCTGCTATAATATGTACAAAGTGACCTCAATACGCATTACGCTACAAAACACACAAACAACAAACGTACACACAACTGACAACACCGACGAATGCACTTCGTTTTGGGCTTTATTATGCACAGACTCGGATTACGCCAAATGCCAATTAAATATGAATTAATTACAACAATTTTGTGTCGCTCGATTCGATTCACGCAATATTATGGCCCTCTCTCGCTCTCTTTCTGGCCTGGCCCGCTCTCACTCTCTTTCCCCTCTCTCTCTAACACTCGCATTGGCAAACGCGCACACGAAAATTTTTTAACTTTACGAATTTTGACTTTTATTCACTTTTTTGCGTGGCCAATTGGACCTTTTACACACCTTGTTACGCTGCGCTTTCGGCGGCGGCGAGTGCGCGCATTTGTATTGGATTTTTATGCTGTATTTAACGGAAAATCGCGCAATCGTCGACCGCAACTCCGTGCACTTTTCCGACGCGACAACAACAAATTGTGATGTGACCTAGAGGTGGAAAAGCATCGATGTCAAAACATCGGTAACATCGATGTTGTATCGATGACATCGGTGCCAGAATCCGACATCGACTTTGGGTGAAATCGATTGTAGAATTAATCGAATATAGTAATAGTTATTTTAAAACATTTAATTTTATAACCTCCACAAAGAAAGTCGTTTTCAATGTGTATGTTATTTTCATTATGCCAAATGCTTGTAATTTTGTTTACATCAATTTTATATAAAACAAATTACCAACTCCGACTAAGTAAATAAGTTCCCAACTATGAATTTAAAATATTTAACAATTTACTGATATATCAGCGTTTTGAGAAGCCAACGTGGGTTTAAGGATATCCAATTTTTAAATACTTCACAGACCACCGCATAACTTAAAGGGTGGCAACGCTGACCGTAATATTCAAATATATTATAAATAATAGAGCTTTCATTTAGACATTTAATAAAACCTGTAAGTTCTCTATAACTTTACATAGATAGTTCTGTCAAACACTTAGTATGCTAGAGAAATCATTCAAAATAAATGTCAAAGCCGAGTTTATCAATTCTCGTCTGACAAGTCAAATAAAATATAGCGAAAATGCTGGACATTTTCAAGAAACCCTATGCGGACTCCAAGCAACTGCCGTTGGCCAGTGGACCGGTTCCCATCCTGATTATCATCGCCGGTTATCTACTGGTCGTCTTCAAGGCGGGCAGAAAGTTCATGGAGCACCGGGAGCCGTACAATCTTCGAGGGGTGCTGAAGTGTTACAACATATTCCAGATCTGCTACAATATGATGATGCTCTTGCCCGTGAGTCATGATCCTGAGCTTATTCACACATATATTTCTACTTCCCAAAGTCCTTCCTTAGGGATACTATTTCATGTTAGTCTTCCAGCCGTACAACTTTCGATGCATGACGGTCCTGCCACAGGATCATCCCATGAAGAATTGGGAGCGCACCATTAGCTATGCTTACTACATTAACAAGATTGTGGACCTGCTGGACACCGTGTTCTGTGTGCTGCGCAAGAAGTACATGCAAATAACGTTCCTGCACGTCTTCCACCACGTGCTGATGCCCACCGTCGGATACTTGATAATCCGCTTCCAGGGCTATGGGGCCACTCTTCTTCCTGTGCTCCTTCAATGTCATCGTCCACATCTTTATGTATGGCTACTACTATTCGGCGATCGAGGGCAATGCAGTGCGCTGGAAGCGCTACCTGACTCTCATGCAAATGATGCAGTTCATCCTAATGTTTGGCCACTGTGCCTTCACCGCCATGCAGCGCGAGTGTAAGGCCTCGCAGGGCAGCCTCTTCCTGGTCAGCTGCGCCGCCGCGGTCATGTTCATCATGTTTGCCAATTTCTACTTCCAGTGCTACGTTAAATCCAAGGAGAAGAGGAATTAAATGAATAAATAGAATTTAAGTTCAATAAATAGATGCATTATTTATTAACCTCATATGCAGTTAATTTTGAATTGTAACGGTTACGATCTTTACCGAACATTAGGGTTACTCACTGCATGGTCTAAAAGCACACATTAGGTTATCGATTATTTTCATCTCTAATTAAGTGCAACAAAACGCGCGCGTTGCCGGCAACCGTCGAATTTTGCAATTATTTGCGAATTTTCATTTTAAAATCGTAGAACTAAACCAAATTATAGGTAACCAATCGATGGTTCTACAGCTCTGATTGCATCATGTCCACCAGTTCCTCCAGCAATGCCTGCAAGCTGCTGCTCCTCGGCCGCTGTCTGCGCGCCGTGCTCCTCAGCGTGGCCATTCAGTTCCTGCTGCTCACCGTGTTCCTGCTGTCGGTGAACTTCACTCTGCTCCATCCACTCGAATGGGTGACGGGAACACTGCGCCTGGTGGCCAGCTGGTACACCTGGTTCGCCAGCATCCCTCTGGTGGCCTCCGTCGTCCTCTATGGCGTGTCCCTGTGCCAGCAGCACCTGTCGGAGCGTCCCTACTGTCCTACGCGATACCGCTGGCTCCTTCACTACGGTCCACGCAAGCTGCTCTTTCTGGGCGCCCATCTCCTGGTCGGACTCCTCACCGCCTGGCTATACACTGGCTATCTACACACGGACTATCAGTAAGAGTGCCTAAATAGGGAAGAAAGAATCATTACTAATAACTTCCCCCTTTTTTTCAGGCATCTGCGATACAAGTGCTATGCTAAGGAATGCGTGAGTGCCTACCATGTCTATCTGCTGGGCATGGGCATTGCCGCCGGCTGCTACTACTTCGTCTCCGTTCACATGCGCCAGGAGATCTTAATTGAATTTCCCGTCGTCGAGCAATCTCGGGCAGAGAAGTTGCGTGAACTACTGTACGGCAGTTTGCCCCGATCTCTGGTTAGATCCTTGCTGCCCACGCTCAGTACACGCTCGCCTTTTGGCTTTTCGGACCGCTATATGCCGCAAACTCAGTACCATTCTCTTCGTGGACGTTGACGAGCGACTTGAGGGATTCTTTGGCGTGGCGACCAATTTGCGACTGCTTTTCTACGGCTATTTGCTGACCGCCCAGATTCTGAGTAACATGCACCTAATGCGCTGCTTCTATGGCATTCTGCTCTCGGAGGATCTGCCCCTTGTGGTGACCAAACAGCGAGCTGCCTTTGCCCATGAGCAAGAATAACCATGGTGGCGGGACTTGGAGTCTTCAACGTTTACGTGGTGCAGTGCCTGGCTGCTCACTACTTCTACAAGTTGGCTTTGCGAAAGGATTCGACACAGCGGGCGGAGATTTTCCAGCTCACTGAGCCGGGCAATCGGCCAGCAAATTGGCGCTCCCTTTGCGACCATGCCTGAGTATTCTCGGCAGCTTCACCGAGGAACTCACGGAGTCCATGCAGAAGATAAGTGTGCTCAAGGGAGCGCAGAGTCTGCCCATGCCAAAAATCAGCGAACCCGTTTCAGCCAGTTTGATGGCGGAGAAGCTGCTGCTGCGACAGTACAACCAGATGCACGGCATCCGACCTATTGTGCCGCCCAAGAAGGAGGATGCCGTTGATCGTGCCCCTGATGGCATCCGCTATATGCCTAACTGGTGTGAGCGCGTCTCCACGCAGCTGGAGCAGGCTCTACAGCGTCTGATCCAGCGAGTTCCCGGCATTGTGTACCTCTTCAACGAACCTGAAGGTTCCAAGACGACGTTTCTGCTGGCCAACTCTCTGCCTGTGGTTTATATGACGCAAGCTCTGGCACAGATTTGTGTGGCATCGCTTAAAGAGGATCCATATGGTGTGGTGCAGAATGATTTGCCGGCCATTATCAAGGCGATAAACAAGCTGAGGAACGAGCTGGACAAACTGAGTAGCGTGATTGGCAATCTCAAGGCACCTATCTCCAGTTTCTATGTCCTACGATGTGCTGTGCGCCGCAGCCTGTACGCCATCTGCAACTCCTTCTGCGACTACCTCGGCGATATCCTGCCTCCCGGTGAGGAACTGCAGCAGCTTCAGGACCTCGTCTGCCAGTAGTAGAATCCTTCATCCATCACATAAACACTCATTTTGTACACTGTTTTGCATCTCTTTTTTCTTTAGTTGTGTCTGCGGTAACAATAAAAATTAATAAATATAACTACAAACGTACAATAGTTATACAAAACTATTGACTTTTTTACTTAGAGTACGAAATGGTAACACGCGATTTGATCATAACTAGCACTGATGAAATGGTCTGCAGGGTGAATGTGTACAAGCAGGCAGCCCAGCTTCACTGCTCCTCCATGGCCACAGCCATCATGAGCAGGCAACATCCTCTTCGAGCTGGCGATTGGGTCAAAGCGCCGCTTGCGCTGGCAGTGGACTGGCGACAGTGACGGTAGCGGCTTCACCCAACGACTGTTCCAGCTGCTCGGCCACCTCATCCAGATGCCGTAGTGCCTCCTTGGCCTTGCGGTTGCGACCGTCTACGAAGATCTGCGTGTCCAGGAAATGCAGAGCTCGGAAGGCCATGCCGCCTTGCGGGTCATAAAGCTGTCCAAGGATTTGGGGTTTCTGGCACTGGCGCTCTGATCCGGTGTGCTGGGATCGAAGGGCACGTATTCCTGAATGGGTTCCTTGTGCCAGCGGAAGATGTTGCGTGAATCTGGAAGGAGACGTTGAATGATTATCTTATATTAACAGAGGTAAGTGATGATGGCACCTAGATCAGCCAGCACTCGCGTCATTTCCCTTATTTGGGCATCCTGACGCTCCAGCCGGAAACTCATCTCTGTCAGCGTGTTGGTGAGGTCCATCTTCTCCGCCTGCGCCATCTCGTTCTTCTTGTTCTCCTTGATGGTTTGACTGTAAGGAGGGCATTATTATAGTTCTGGGATGACTAGGATATCCTGTTCACTAACCGTGAGTACTCGAAGATCAGAAGACCGGCTCCGATCGTGAAGATGATGAACTCGCCCAGCAGATTGGCTCCCAGCTCAATGGCCATCGCCTCGTTCAACGGTGGGACATTCACCCGGCCTCCCATGTTCAGTGCCCACATCTTGGTCTTGACCTCCACCCAATTGTAGACTGGAAATGTGGGATTTTAGCCGTAATCTCATCTAATCGTAAATAATACCCCTTACACTGCGCCGGCGGCATGCAAATGTACTTCCTGAAGAAGGGACTTGACTTGGCATTGGACTTGATCACATTGGCTATAGGCTTGCTGATCTGCTTGATGGCCAAGACGCCAAGCTTGGCCGCCGGGAAGACGCCAATAACCATTATTTCACTTTTTACTAATAACTATTACAAAATATTCGTGCAAAATTAGAGATGTGTAGGAGATAGCGGTGTGCGCATTGGCCGATAGGCGGACTTTAGTGATGGCAAATCGAAAGTTAAAATGTAACCGTCATGTTGATAATAAAAGGTCACGCTCGATACAGTGAACTTAAGAAAACTTTATGTAGTTTATATTGAGGATCAGATTAAAAATAAAAGATCGAAGATGCTGTATCAAATAAATTATATATGTATATTTCCCGCCAACAAGCAGATTTTTCATTCCTTAAAAAATTATTACAAACTACATTATTTTCAAAGTCATCTAGGGCTGCCCTAATCCAGTTGATGTCCTTTTGCTGCCGCTCCACATCCGCACCGATACAGTCAACGCGTTCATCTAGAGCTCTTTTCTGATCCTCAATTTCCTGGTCTTTCTTCTGATTTTTTGTATATGTTCTAAAAGAAAACCCTGAATTAAAGCCGTGGGTTATTGAACTAAGTTACTCAAACCCAACTTTGAAATCTCGTAGTATATAAGACCGAGACCAATGCCGAAAACGAAGACCTCGCTCAGCATATCGGCACCCAATCTGGTGGCGATCGGTGGTGAGAGACGTGGAATCCGCCTGGGTTGTTTCAGTCGCAACATTCGTAGCTTGGAACGAACCTCGAAGGTGTTATATAGCTGGGCCGGCGGAATGATGACGTAGTGCCGGATGAAGGGATGGTGCTTGCCCATCCACATCAGGAGATCGCCAAATGGCTTGCTAACCCGTTTCATGGCAAAAATGAAAAGTTTTCCCACTGGGAACCTGCCGATCACCATTGTCCTTAACTTTGAATTTTGTACCCATTAAAAAGCGACTTGACTGGCTTCTCTAAGCCAGGTCAGTTACATTCCGAATCCCTCTATCGCTGTAATCGAAATTGTTAACTCTGCGCCCTACCACCATTGACTTGAGCTGACTGATTTCCTTGGCTTGTTGGGAAACCTTGTTGGTGAGGTCAGCAATTTTTCCTCCAGTTTCTCCCTATGAACCTTGTGTTTTCGTGTTTTATTTTGTCATTCCTCGACTGCCTAAGCGTAAAATAATTGTATTATAAATATTTTTGGAAATATCAAAAGTACAGACCTCGAAAACTCTGCTATCACAAGCGAAGCTCCAATAATAAAGATGATCATCTCGCCCAGAATATCGCCGCCCATTTGAATTGTCATTGCATCATTTAAGGGGGGAATAAAACGAGGTTGTCCCAACCCCAGCATCCACATTCTCGAGCGCACATCGATAACGTGATATACTAAAAATTATAATCTTAAATCAGTGGGCATCCTGTGAAGAGAACTTACATCTTGCTGGCGGAGAGACAACCACGGCTTTAAATGACGGACTCTTTCGGGCCCTTCGTTTTATCAGATTTCCGATGGGCTTACTTATGTGCTTAATGGCAAGCAAACCGAGTTTTCCCAGTGGAAAAGCGCCCACAACCATTTCGACTTGATTAACTACGCTCACTATAACTGGCAATTTACAAATTCAAAATGAGTCAGTGCTGTAAAGCATTTTTCGAAATACTTTTAAGGCGGGAAACTTGATTTCTCTTTCGTGATTTCTACTTTTATCCAAATCCACAACTTTAACTATTTATTTAAAAATTGTATTTAAGTTATTTCATATAATTTATAATTACAGTTTTTGTTTTGAGTTTACTTTAGAAGTTGGTAATATTTGGCATTGTTAACCCGGTCACACCTGTTCTCATTTATTTGTTATTAACCGCTTTTTGGTTTGTTATAATACTTTGTCCTAAAATAATGTCTGCTTTTGGTGATTCTGATGAGGAAACCGACTTCAAGGAGATCAGCTCAACAAATTACCAACGCGTCCAGGAAAAAGTAGCAAAGGTTGGTTTAAATTTGCCTTTGGCGGCGTGGCCAGCTTTCATGATGAAATCAGCTGTTTTTAGAACTCCATTTTATGCGACTTATAAATACTCTTTTTATTTTAAGATAAGCTATGCAGATGGCATTTCCGATGGAAGGGAGAAGGTATTTCAGGACAGCTTTGACGAGGGCTTTGAAAATGGGTTCAAAACGGGCTTTGAACTTGCCAAACTAAGTGCCTTTTATGAAACCATGAAAAATGTAGAGGCGGAAAATATGGAATTTAGAACAGAACAAGAGGCTTACGAAAAACTAAAACTAGCAGATGCCACCGATAAAGCACACTTTAAATATTTAGAGCATCAGGGAAAACCTCTTAATGTTATATCGAACGAACAAAGGACCTATGTGGACGACCTTCTGGGAACACTTGTGCAGCAACTCCCAGCCACTACAAATTTATTCACTTCGAGCAGCGGTGCTTCTAGTGTTAATGTGGTTTAATGCATGTGTTTGGGAATTATCAAAATTAACTGAAAATATATATTCTTGCGACTTATAAATACAGGCCCTCGGGCGTGCCCTCCTTCTTCCGGTACAGGACGCTTTCCTTTGATTTTTTGAAGTCCTCGTTGGTCACCTTCATGCGGCGTTCGCGCAGCGCCATCAAACCAGCCTCTGTGCAGATGGCCTTGATGTCGGCTCCGGAGAGGTCATCCTTGGCCATGATCAGTTCGCTGAGGTTCACGTCTTCGGCCAGCGTCATGCGCGACGTGTGGATGGTAAAGATGCGGCGTTTGGTCTTCTCATCCGGCAGCGGGAACTCGATCTTACGGTCAATACGACCGGGACGAATTAGCGCCGGGTCTAGGGTCTCAATACGATTGGTTGCCATAATCACCTTGACATCTCCACGCGAATCGAAACCATCCAGCTGGTTAAGCAGCTCCAACATGGTACGCTGGATCTCCGCTCGCCACCAGAATTGGAGTCGTAACGCTTTGTGCCCACAGCATCGATTTCGTCGATGAACACAATGGATGGCGCATGCTCCTCGGCCACGCGGAAAAGCTCACGCACCAGCTTGGGTCCGTCGCCCAGGTACTTCTGGATGAGCTCTGAGCCCACAACACGCAGGAAAGTGGCCGAGGTCTGATTGGCCACTGCCTTGGCCAGCAGGGTCTTGCCCGTTCCGGGTGGGCCATACAGGATGACGCCCTTGGGCGGCTTGATGCCCATCTCCTCGTAATACTCGGGATGAGTCAGGGGCAGCTCGACGGACTCCTTAATCTCCTGGATCTGAGTGTCCAAGCCACCGATATCGGCGTACGTCTCCTGCGGGGCCTTCTCCAGCTTCATCACAGTGACCATGGGATCGGTGTCGTCGCTGAGGACTCCGACCACAGCGTGCACTTTGTGGTTGAGCACACGGAGCAGCCTGGTTCCAGCTGGTCCTTGTCCACAAACGACAGATGCTCACATAGTGTTCGGAACCCACCGAGGTGGACACGATGGCGTGGTTGTCGTCGATGATCTCCTCCAGGTTGCCCACGGACATGGGTGTACCGCGCAGGTCGTCCACCTTGGAGCGCTCCTCCTCGTTCTTCTCGTCCTGGGGCTTTAGGCGCTCCTGGTTGCGGATGAACTCATCCTCCATCATAAGGTAATCCTTGATGCGCTCCAGCTTCAGCAGCTTAAGGCGGCAGCGGGTGTGGGGCGTGACCTGGGGCAGCTTCATGGCCGCATCCGGACCCTTTGCGCGCCGCTTCTTCTTGCCAACGCGGGTCGGGATTGGGGGCTCGTACTTCTTCTTTTTGTCCTTGTCATCTTTCTTGTCGCCAGCGCCCCCTTGGGCCGATTGGTTTTGTCCCTGCAAACATATATTTTCCGATCACAAAGCAGTTGCGGGTGTTTTGCAAGTTGTACTTTACCATTTTGCTTATGTGCTGCTCCTTTACTCAACGTTTAATGAACTTTTTCACTCTTTATTTGTCGGCAACACAATTTCCACTAGTCACTGCGACTGGGCTGCCGTACTTCGAAACACGGCAGTCTGGCAACTTTTTTGCGGTGAACAAATATTTTTAAAATTTGGTTTCAGGTTCAAAAGGCAAGTAATGCATGAACATTCGATATTTAATAGTCGTCAAAATGTGATCACTGATCATTTTAAATCAAATTAGTTTTTAGCAATGCAGTATAAATATCAATTTCTCTGAAAAACTAGTAAGTTCTTTAAACGTTTTTATATATTTCAAATTTATTTAAAGTGAATGCATATTTCAAAAGTCACGGGCTAATCGATAACAATCAAAAGGCTCGGTGAACCGGTCTGGCAACACCGAAAATTTGTTTATTGTTTTGTTTCTACCGCGCTTCCTCGAAATTGTTTAAATTTTATTTGTTGCAGCCTTTTAATGGATCAAAATATCAAGATTATCGATCTCAAACTTGACAATATTGAGGTTCTGACCACCGGCACGGCGGCGGAGTTTGTTAATGGCATTCTGGATTTCTTGCTCTATCAACGCCGCCAAATTCCATTCGTGTACAAAACGTACAAATATTATGTGGATAAATGGTCTGATGCGGAGGGATCTGGAGAAACGAAGGATCGGGAGTCGTTTGCCCACTACCAACTTAACCAGCAGCGTTCCAAGGCAAAGGCCACCAAGCAGTCCATTAGTGACATGAGAGAGGTGTGTTTTCCTCCTTATACAGGACCTTTTTTGTATTTAATTACCTGTTGCCACCTACAGCTCATAAGACAAGCCTTCAGAACATCGGAAGTGAAGAGCCTGCGATTTCTCTTTGGCAATAGCACCTTTATGCCATCGGAGGCTTATACCCTGCACATACCACATGATTCCATATCCAGGGATCACTTTTACGAGCATCATGCCCTACCTGAATTCCGTATAAACCAGGCGCTACTCCGTCTGCTCACTTGCGAGGAGTTGTACACTTTGTTCTCCACGGAGCTGAACGCCACCAATGTGTTTCTGGAAATGGAACTCCTTACAAACGCTGAGAATGCAAAAGGATGCCATGGTGACTCAGTTAATCTGATTCCCAAGGACGTAATGAGCCAACTGCCGCGTAGTTGCAGAACATACACCTAAACCTCCTGCATTGCACCGATAATATTTCGACTGAACTACAGTGCTGCAAGGATTTGGCCATTTACCAGGATCTCGGTTTGCTGAAACTGGACAAGTCTGAAGAAGACGATAGCAGGACTAACGACTCTTTGGAGGCAACCAAGGAATCCAGTTGTTGGTGGCAAGCCGAGATCATAGTTCGTGGTTTCAGGCTCCTGCCAACCAAAAGTCAGGATGTATATGGTCTAGCTAACATTTTTTGTATTAAAAATAAAATCATTTATCATATGCAAGTGCCAAGAATAAATTCTCAATAGTTCTCTTTAGATCCCTGCTTTTTTATTCTTTTATTATAATTTATAAGTGTTAAGGATTAACATTTTATGTCAAATAAGCGTAAGTTGATAAATATTATTATTTTTTTGAGCTTGTGATAGTTTAAGCGGTTTAAATTCATCAAGTGGCTACAAAGTATAATATTATTATTTAAAAATGTTTATAAGTTATCAAAGTGCATTTTTTCAAAGATGTTCTCTATGTATGTGAAGCTCTCGAAAAGTAATCTTGAAATGAAGTGTTTATGTGGTGACAATTATCGAGAGTGGTGTAAAGGCCTCTCGATGCTTGGTTACAATGCGGTTGGCAATGCGATCCAAGTCACGTTGACCAAGTGAAGTCAGTTGCGACCCCCATCCGGATGCTTCTCCACCATGCGAGCAATTTCCAAGGCTTGAAGGGCCTGCAGGAAATATACCCGTGTGATCATTATACCTAAAATCACACTCTTGGCCACTCACCTTGCGAATGCAGCCGTCCGAAGAGCGACAGTACTTAGACGGATGAACCCCGTTGCGCTTGCGTCCTCCGTAGACTTTGGTAAGGCCGCGACTCCGGAAGGACTGCGCAGGTACAGGTGTCTCATGATGGAGGCACAGCGAATGTAGAACCAATCGTCGTCAGTTGGCCCAGTCTCCTTGAACTTGGCCGTCTTTATATAGTCGGCCTGCTCCGGCACTAAGACTTTTCCCGATTTTTTAAAAAAGCAGCCAAATTCTTTGTCAGAACTTGCTGGTCTACATCCTTAACTGTTACACCAGGCATCTTGCTCTCTACCTTTTAAAAATTTTTAAGGATGCTATAGATTCTGGTATTTAAATGTATACCTTTTAGGAACTCAAGTTTTTGCTCCTGCTTCCTCGCTGATTTTCGCCAAAATGGACGAGTAAAATGTTACACTAGCTACTGTGAACTAGAAACTGACCCGGAAGTACTGGTTCGCAATAGCTGTGCAGTGTAATTTGTTGAGCCTGGCAACTCTATTTGAATACATAACCTATTTTTTCTTGAAACTGTGACACGAGGAATGGCGTCAAGTTAGCGTTATTATTTGTAACTTTATAATGTATAAATGTTCTATAAAAAAGAATATTTTATTAAAATTAAAAAACAAGCAATGCATATTTCCTGCCTTTCTATTTTGTTATTTAATAACCAACTTTAAAATACCAAGATAGGTAATATCATAAAAAGCATTTAACTCGACGAACCTTTTGGATGCTAATATATTAATATCATTTTTATCTTAGCTTGAATAGCAAAGTTAGCAAGTTTTTTTGCGTTGGGTTGATTTTGAAAAACCAACTCTCGTCACGCTTCCATTACTAGCAATCAGTGTTGGATTACGCCGCCCGCTCTGCCATCACTAATTTCTGGATCGTCCCGTCTCGTGTATTTTTGTTCCGGATTTTTTGACTGAAAATGCACTTGCTGCGGACCCTTCGCCAGCTGAATGGCCTCCAAGGAGTGCGGCAGGCCATCCGCCAGGTTCCTCGGCTCCCACCAAACCCGCCACCCTGCAGTACGAGCGGGATCCGCAGCCGCTCTTTACGGATGCCGAAACCCAGCGGCTGCTCCAGTCCATGACGCAACTGAACTTGGACAAGGTGTATCGCCACCGGACGGTGGCGGACAACAGCAGCGAAACGAAGTTCATGACCAACGAACAGCTGGACAACGAGTTCCAGGAATGGTGGTGCGGGCCCAGCACATGCTCCAAATGCCACCAATGTGGAGATCAAAAAGGATGTGGAGCGGGTGATAGCCAAGGATCCGGCGCTCAAGGACTTCGACACCACCAAATATGTGTTCACGGACATCACTTTCGGTCGGCGGCAGTCGGAGCGAAAGGTATTTGTCCGGGAGACGGACGGAACCTTGGCCCACGCCACTCTGGACACCACCAAGCGAATGAACCAGCTGTATTTCCCACTGGAGGGTCGCCAGTCGTATACTCCTCGCATGTTTGCCTTGGAAGAGCTGCTGTCCAAGTGCCTGGCGGAGCACAAGTATGAGTTCATCCTGGACCGCCTCTGGTGCAGTACGAGCCCCATGAGCCCGAGTTCCATAATATTTCAGCGCGCGTCTTTGAGCATCTCAACGAGTCCAAGCAGTTTGAACTCCTGCGCTCCACCCGTCACTTCGGACCCATGGCCTTCTTCTACGCCTGGCATCGCTGCATCGACGATCTGCTGTACGACATGATCCGCCGAGATTACTGCACAATGCCGTGGAGTTGATTGCCTTGAGCTACAAAGTACACAAAATCCCCGTGGAATATCAGGCTACCCTGACTGAGCTGGAAAAACTGCATCAAACGCCGGCGGAGCGGGCTCTGGCGAGTTGAGGAGCGTTTTCCGAAGACCGGACGAGAAGCAGAGCATTGAGCAGGAGATCCACAGTGCCATTGGCAAAACGGAGCCTGATTTCGCCGCCGATGAGATCAGTTTAAAGTTCATCGAGCAGTATATTGCCAGCGAACATTCGCTGAAGAAGGTGCAACTGGAGCTGGCGGTGCAGACCCTCAAGGAAGTCAATCGAGAGAAACTCTTGCTGTTCCAGGGTTTGAAGAAGGCCCACGGCGTTCAAGCTTCGTAGGATCTTCTCGCTTTATTGTTATTGATTTCTATATTCTAATAAATACCAGATAGGTCAAAGATTTGTATATGCTGTTCATAACTCCTTGAAGAGGATCTTAGACAGCTGTCGATGATGGCCGAGGATGCACTTTCTACGGTGCCGCAAACAAACTCTCTCGCTGCTGAAGCGCTTTAAGCAAACTGAGCAGCGTCTGGGATCTTTTCTGCCCTTGGGTATCCCCTTGTGACTGCGGAAGAGGGTGAGCACTTTGGCCTTGGAACATTTCTGCTCCTTTTTTCGATGGATTAGAACAGAGGTGGTGGTCTTAAAGAAACGTCTGCACTGTAAGCATCTGTAGCACTTCCTGCCGCTGTGTTTTCGTAGGTGATGCAGCAACTGCATCTCCGAGTGACTCATGGCATTGCAAAGCGGATGTGGGCATTTGAAAAGCATGGATGACTTCCTGGGCGCCATGGCGGGGCAACTGAGATTGTGGCGCTTCAAGAGGTTCTCGTGGCCAAGCTTTTGACCACAGTTGAAGCACAGAGCACTGGGCCCAAAGTGCACGGTCATGTGAGACTGATGCTCCAACAAAGTGTTGGCTATATCGCCGCAGATCTGGCACTCCAGCATGCCATTGGGAAACATGCTGGTATTCTCGCTGACATAGGTGAGAAACCGAGCGTAGTCGTTGGTTTCGGCCACATCCTTGGGCTGATCCTCGGGCAGGTTCCACTCCACCGAATCCCGGCGACACTGAATGCCCACCTCCTTGGTGCTCGGCTCCTCCGTTTGAATGGCGCGTTCCCTACGTGGAACTGCTATTTCGCTCGCAAAGATCCCGGTGGATTCGTTCAGTTTATCCTGCTGTGCGGATTTCGGGGGGGCTTCCGAAACAGCACCATTGGTAATCGGATCTTGCAGCCCATTTACCGGTATGGCGTTGTCGAGCGCGTATCTCCTTGTCACCCATTTGGTCTCCACGCACACGTATTCTGGCAGCTCGTAGATGGGCACTGAGATGGGGTTATTCAGCGGCGAGGATTGCCTCCAGTGGTCACCATTCTACCGGCGTGTGGCCCCTTTAGCGGGGTCCCGATATGCATGTTCATCTTGAGCCAGGTTGACATCAAAAGAAGTCAATTGTCCGGTAAGCATCACTATTCCTTATAGGAATATCATTTCTTTCGGGATCTTTATAAATATTTATTATTGTCGCTAATATTTCCCTTAGTTTTCAAAGACGCGTTGTTTGCGGGCGCAAAAAAATTATATGTTGTGAGTGGTGTTGCCGGCTTAGCTTTTTTCCCGCCATTTACATTTTGCCGCTAAGTTAAATTTTAATCTATTGTATATATTGATGCTTAATATATCTGTTTAAAGTTTATGTGAATAATATATATACTATCATAAGAGATCTGCTAAAAATGTATCGAATCTACATTAGGTGCAAAGCGTGCTTATGCGCAACGGAATGTAAACAGCTAACAGTTATGTTAATTTGAAACCGGAATTCGTAAGGATTTTAAAATATCAGGGTATTCCAGAAATGTTTGTAACCAATTTTCAATAACGTACATTTATGGAATCACCTTTGATTCACATAAAAGTACATTCAAAAACATGAATATTTCCTTTTTTTTCTTTTTCAACTTTTTATTTAAACTGATTATGGTTGAATGAATAAAATAGTTTGTCAAAGTTGTTAAATCAATTTGTATAGTAATGTACAATTAATAAGGTAGAAATCGATTAACCCACTTAGGGGCACTATTTTTTGCTTTTATCCTTATCCTTAATGGTGTACTTGTCGTAGGACTTGGTGGGATCATAAGGCTCCCACCGGCTGGCGGGGAATATATGCTTGTTGCGTTCGTACCAGGATCGGAGGAGCACCTTGCCCGCATGCGACTCCTCCTTCTCCACGGAGGCGTCGCTGATCATGCGCACATCGTCGTGAACGTCGAACTGAAAGAGCGGACCGGATTTCCGCGAGCCTTGGTCACTATGAAGTCGTAGAAGGAGTAGTGGTGCGGTAGAATCAGATCCTCCTTGACGTACATCAGCTGGTCGGCCATCACAGTCTTCAGTTCGATGAACTCCTTCCGCAGCAGCTCCAGGCACTTTTGCAGGAACTGATAGATGGAGTTGCCCTTCTTCATCAGGACGTTACGCCGATGGCCGGAGCCATCCCAGTAGCTGAACGTGATTGAGATGTCTTCGTCCTTTAGCTCTGCCTGCTGCATAACCCATTCCTGACGCAGTTGCTCCCGCAGTCGGTTCTCCTGCTCCTCGCGCTCGCGATCTGGCAGAAAGGAAGTGTCCACATCGGGATTTTTGCATATCTTCTTTTTCTTTATGGGCACAATCTCGTCCTGCATCTCTGTCCACTTAGGCTTGACTTTTGGGAGCTTCTCGTCCTCGATCTTTATCTTGGGTTCCTCGTCGTCCTGATCCTCGTTCTCCTCCTCGTCCTCATCCAGGTTAAAGGACAGCGCTTGGATCTGTCGCTTCTGCTTGTTTTTCTCCGCCTGAATGGCCTCCAAGGCGCGCTGCTTCTCCCGATCCTTTTCGTCCTTCTTCTGGGCCAGTTTCTTTTCCCGTTCCCGCACTATGTCCTCCTGCTTGGCCTTCATCTCGTCCAGGGTGACCAGCCAATGGTCGAGGACTTGAGCTGCTGCTCCACAGCATCGTAGTGGGTGGCAAACTTGTTCTCAATCTTGTCCAGCTTCAGTTCCTCCTCAATCTTTTTCTTGCGGAACTCGATCTCCTGCTGCTGGATCTCACGCTTCTTCATCAACTGGGCGGCACGGCCCGCCTCGCTGGCTGCACCTTTATAGTGGGCCATCCTTCCTGCCTTATTTATTAATTATTTACTTATTTTCACTTCATTTACACGCAAAAGGTTGTAAACATCCAAATGGTGTGACCGTAGCAAGAGAATTAAAAATTCCCACTCTGTTAAAAAATTAATTTTAAAATCGGAAGGTATTAAAAACTTTTTAATTTGAATTTTTAATTTACAGAATCATTGGTTTTTAAAATGAATATATCCCGTTTTTTACCCTGTTTTATGATGCACATTTTAATGTTAGCAAAATAGATGAGTCTTCTTACTTTAAATCATCTTTTTTAAACATAATATTTTCCAATCGAAAATCTTCAATTAAAAGTTATAGTTTTTTAAAAATGTTTTGCCAGTAGCAACCAGATTTTGCAATATTTAATCTTATACATTGAGTTACAATTGTGAAATTTCATTTAAGTAAACTAGATTTACGTTGACTCATTGGAAGCCTCATCGCGGGCCTCGGACTCAGGTTTATCCTCCTCATTGCCACGATCTTCATTTGCCGCATCCTGTTCTACATCGTCCTGCTGATCAGAATTGCTGTTACTATTGCTAGAACAGCTCTTTCAGCACTACTGTCCTTGCTGTCGGCCAGATCGTCCTTGTCAAATCCATTCATGTGCTCCGGTGTGGGGGCTGTGTCATTAGCACTGGGTAGCGGGGTAATGCTCTGCAGCTTCTGGCGGGCAGCATGGACCAGCTTTCCAGCTCGACGCACTCTGTCTCGATCTCATAGTTCTTGGACACTAGCAGCACCCAGTGGGCCTCCAGGGAACGCAACCGTTCGCCAGCCTGCGTCTGCGCCTGCTTTCGCTGCCAGTTGACGTCCTGTATGTCCTTCTTCAGCTGCTGGAGCTGCAGCTGCGCCTTTGCCTGCATGGCGGTGAAGACCTCCAGGTAAGACTTCCAGGCCTCCGTGCCGTAGTCGAGCATCAGTTCCAGATTGAGCGAACGCACCCACTGGTGCTCCAGCTGGGCCATTGAGTTCTCGATGGCCTCCTGCCAGGCGGACACCTCGGAGAGCTTGCCGGATGGCGGCGGGGGCAGTTCGTAGCGCTTCATTGAAAGCGTCTCCATGGGCAGGCGGTTCTGGATGCGCTCGAATTCGTTGACCATCAGCGGAGTCTCGAAGGGCGAGGTGGCGGGCAGCGGTAGGTGATCCAGGTAGTTTTTGGTGGGTCGATATCGCCGGCATTCCTCCTCCACCATGGCGAGGGCCTTGAAAAGAATGAAATGGTATTAACATTTTAATATGCACGTTACTTAAGGAACAACAAACTATTAACTCCAGAAAAACTTACCGATTCCCTGACGCCCACATCGTCGTAGCCATGATCTATGTAGGGCAAAGCATCCACAATTACCTCGCCAGCCATTTTTAATTTATTTTTTAAGGTTTTTAAACAGTTTTTAGCTTAAGTAAACAAAAACAAATGCCACTCGCCGCTCTTTTCAGCACCGGAGTGTTTCCATTCTAGCTATTTTGTAGCTATAATAGTTTACAATAAACCCAAATCAATGTTATTGACGAGCAAAAATCAAAAATTGGCCTTAAAAATTGGTTACCCGCATGTGGCTTAAATTATGTCAATAATTTTTTAAACTTAATTTCTAAAATTGTTTTGTTGACATAGCAATTTTCGGATTTACATTATGGCAGAACTGTTCATCACGAAGTCTTGTTTTAAATTTACAAACTGTTTCCGGAGCAAATAAGTTATTATTAATACAAGTCGATTTTGAAATACCATTAAATAATTAATGTAAAAAAACCATATTCACTGCAAAAATAATTCATGATACAATAAAGAAATAAACAAAAACCTTTGTTTACAGAGTGAATGCCGCCAAAACCAAGTGTTGGCAACGTGAAAGCATCGCTGTTAACTTGACGCATCCGCTGTTAGCGAATGCAACCCTGCTGCTTGAAGGCGTTTGGCAGCCATTTCCGGCAGCTCTCTTTCTTTCTTCGTTCTTCTTAATAAAAAGAGGACGGAATCTGCGTTTGCAGAATATTTAACACCTTTCATTGGGTTTGAAAATCAACGAAAATGGTGAGAAATGGACCTAAGACACTCCGCGACCGCCGCCGATGCCGAAGCACTGGATTTAACACACGAAACAACGGGAAAATAGTGGAAAAGTGTCGCCCTAACCTCCACGTGTTTGGAATGTGCGGCGGTGGCGAAATGTGGATGTTGTGTTTTGTGATGTGATGTGATAGTAACTACAACTTGATCCATTTACAGAGCTTAGGCAACGCCAGGCCATTGGTCTCCGTGTACACGGAAAAGAACGAGCCAGCTAAGGACAAGAACATCTGCCTGCCGGCAGTGTTCAAGGCGCCCATCCGTCCGGATGTGGTCAACGAGGTGCACCAGCTGCTCCGCCGTAACAACCGCCAGGCCTACGCCGTCAGCGAGCTGGCTGGTGAGTAATTTGCACATAGCATTTCCATGCAGTAAGTCTAATCCTGTTTTTCTTTGCATTCCCATAGGTCACCAGACCTCCGCCGAATCCTGGGGAACTGGACGTGCTGTGGCCCGTATTCCCCGTGTCCGTGGTGGTGGTACCCACCGTTCCGGCCAGGGAGCCTTCGGCAACATGTGCCGTGGTGGACGCATGTTCGCCCCCACCAAGACCTTCCGTCGCTGGCACCGTAAGGTGAATGTCAACCAGCGTCGCTACGCCCTGGTGTCGGCCATCGCCGCCTCCGGAGTGCCCGCTCTGGTCCAGTCCAAGGGCCATGTCATCGACGGCGTCTCCGAGTTCCCCCTGGTCGTTTCCGATGAGGTGCAGAAGGTCCAGAAGACCAAGCAGGCGTCATCTTCCTGCGTCGCCTGAAGATCTGGGCTGACATCCAGAAGGTGGGTCGCCCTGAATTCCTGGAGCGGTAGTTTGTAAACAGTGTTAGACGTTTGATAGAAAATCATATAGGTTTTTTTTTATTACAAATCCACGCTTTTTCGGATAACCTTATTTGGCTAGAAAGTTTTTCATATATAACCAGTGATGGAAAGAAGCACCCCCAAAGTCTTGAATTGTTTATTAGATCTGAATCGGCAGCGTGCTAACAACTGGCTACTTTAATGGTTGTCAGATGCTAGCAAAGTTATACTGCGTTGTCAGATAAAATGCTCTACTATAGGCGTTGCGATTTATACTTAATCCACAGTTCCATCGCGGTAACCGGAGAGCTACATTTATTTTCGATTAAGAAATACTTTGCATCCAAATGGTAACTTATTACCGTAATCTAAGATATAGTAATCCATCCGAAAGGATTAGACGTTAGTAATCCTATTGAATCTAAATCGGCAGCGTGTAGCAACTAACTACTTCATAGTGGTTAGAGGTTTGCAAGGTAAACCAGCGTTGTCAGATAAAATGCTCTACTATAGGCGTTGCGATGAAACTTAATCCACGGTTCCATCGCGGTAACCGGAGAGCTACATATATTTGCATTTAAAGGTGTCTTCAGCCAGTAGCAAGGAATATTTATACATGAATCAGCTTTATATTAAAATGTAACTTTTTTTGTTTCCTAAGATATGCTACCCAGAGACTAATGTTTTGTCCTTTTTTAATTTTGCAGGTGTACAAGTCGCAGCGTTTCCGTGCTGGCCGTGGTACCATGCGCGACCGTCGCCGCATCGCTCGCCGTGGTCCCCTGGTGGTCTACGACAAGGACGAGGGTCTGCGCAAGGCCTTCCGCAACATCCCCGGCATTGAGACCATCAACGTGGACAAGCTCAATCTGCTGAAGCTTGCTCCCGGCGGTCATGTCGGTCGCTTTGTCATCTGGACCGAGTCGGCGTTCGCCCGCCTGAACGATCTGTTCGGCACCTGGAAGAAGCCATCCACCTTGAAGAAGGGCTACAACCTGCCCCAGCCCAAGATGGCCAACACCGATCTGTCGCGTCTGCTCAAGTCCGAGGAGATCCGCAAGGTGTTGCGCGATCCCCGCAAGCGTGTGTTCCGCAGCGTGCGCCGCCTGAACCCCCTGACCAACGTGCGCCAGCTGATCAAGCTGAACCCTACGCCGAGGTCCTCAAGCGTCGTGCCGCCCTCGCCGCCGAGAAGCGCACCGTTGCCAAGGTTCTGGCCAAGGCCAAGAAGCAGAACGTCGAGCTGGCCAAGTCGCACTTCGCCAATGTCGCCACCAAGGCAGCGGCCAACCGCGCCAAGCTCTGGCCGCCCGCAAGAAGAAGGTCGCCACCAAGAAGCCAGCGGCCAAGAAGTAAACTTACTTTCCCCCAAGTAGAGCTGACACACTTTTATATTATAATAAACCATAAACGTTGTATGAATTTTATTCATAATACATAGAGTGCGAAAGTAATACTCATTAAACTCTTAGTCTTAGGCACATTTAGTATGGTTACTCTCTTTTTCGATCGTCTGTTGCCTCCCCGAGCGATCCACATTATCACCTAGCACTCGACTCGTTCTCCCGCTGATAACAGATGTGGCGGCTGTAGCTTTCGTTATCTTCGTGCTGCCCGCCGATCTTGGGCTTCGTACACGTTCGCACATCCATATGTGCCCATACATATATTTATTGTCACACGTTAATTGGCATTTAATTAAACGTCGAGCGTCGTCGTCGCTGTTATTCCACTGAGAACGCTCGAGTAGCGCGGTTCTACGTATCGCGCAAAAAACCGAAATAAGCAGAATCCCTCTGTTGGGCAAATAAAAAAGTGAAAAACAAAGGCGGCGCAAGAATAAAGGATATATTTGATTCAATTAAACGAAGTAATTTTGAGACGGCACTATAGAAAGTAAACCGGTTTATCGGAATAAGTACAAATATTACCCACTTTATGGCTGCGCTGGCCAAAAAAGTGTAGATAGCAGATAGCAATCTTGCGCAAAATCTCAAAACTCGGATCATACGATATTTTCTATGTGCGGGTCGCGACCGATGTCTGGTTATATTGAGTAGAACGCAATAATATATAGCCACCACCGATCTTCGGAAAGGAGAGCGTAGAGAGAGCGAGAGCAGTATCAGCATCTGAAAAAGAGAGGACGCTGCTGGAACGTTTCGATGCGCTGTCGTATCGCCTCCTCCATTTTTCATATTTTTTTTTCCATTATTTGCACTATAGTAGTACTAGTCGCTGCCACTAAAAGGGTCGCTCCGCTCTGTGTGTTTGATTAGTCGCGTTTAATCATCAGGGTCGGAAAGTTTCGGAGAGCACTTCCGATCACTTGCCCGCCGGCTGATGCCGGAGCATCGCTTGGTACTGCTGCGCGTGCCCGCCCAACCGATCCAATCCAATCCCAACATAATCGCCAAGCCATCATGTTGACGACCGTCCTGAACTTTGCCCAGCGCGTCGCCGAGATTTCTTTGCTCGGCGGCATCGAGATTGCATCAGTTGCCCTTATTGTCTACTACATATTCGCGAAGACGAGGTGAGTACGAATAGGCGTAGATGGAAGCCAAATAAATCCCATAAACTAGGTGCATGTATATAAAGTATAGTATGTATGTATGCACCGCCCCAACCTCCAAGTTCAAGTAACGCTGTCGAGGAAGAAGAGCCGTTATTTTTAGAGGCGCACTCGCAAGTTATCCAATGCATGCAAAATGAACCACAGTGGTGCTTCCCCAAGTCGAAAGTCCATGTGCAAAAAGTTCCTGAAAGTCAGACCACTTTTAGGTGTTCTTAAAATAGTTCATTAATTAGGGATTAATTCTTATCTAAATGGCTCCCACCTGATGCTTTGCCTCCAACATTTATGGCAAAGATTACTTTGATGGAAGATTAAGTGTAAAAAACGAATAGATGAAAAACCCAAGTTAAAAGTTTAAAAATTGAGCTTAAATCCTTTTAATTAAAATCCAATGACTTTCGCTTGTTGTCTTTCCTTTACTTTTAGTAATCATGATTAGATTATAGACTGTTTAAAAAAATTTAATGTTGATAATCTTCAGTTTTTGTTTTAGAAAAATATGGAAAAAAACAATAGTATTATGTCAAGATAATGTGTTTATTGAAATTTTTAAATTTTTTTAGACATTGTTCAAAGTTTAACAGATAGTGTGACGACCTTTAGAGGTTCTACTGTAGTTATGCTTTCTTTTGTTATTGACCGAACAGGTGGTTGCTCCATTGGCCATGACTCACAATAGCCCTTTGTCCTCTTATGGACTAGGCCCATTGTGGTATGTAAATTGGTAGAATTCCGCTTATCACACACGTGCTAATTTACACTGGGAGGCTGCCTTGGGGTCACTGGGGGTTCAGTGACGTCAATAGTGTTTTTGTTTACTCTAGCACAAACACTTTCTCGCCCACTACCACCCCCTTTTTCCATTCCATCGAGTACTCTCTTCGCAAGGCGCAATTTCTGATGTTGCAATCACACAGATAGCAACTAATTCCCCCACCCGCAAATCATTCTTGGCAACAATTATCGGAATGATTGCCGCTGTTAAATTTGCACCTAATTATCTGATTAAGATTTCACAGCGGCTATTTCCGTAATCTAACTGGATTTCGACCAGCTTGGGGCCACAAAGAAAGTGTGCTCCTCATCTCGTATCGGTTGATAATAAAAGTACGTACATACCCCACTTGGATTAGACCTCTAAATAATACGTTCGATCCCACAAGAAGACTAAAATACTTTCGAGTGCCTTACTCCGTGAAATTTTCCACAGCTCAAGATGATTGTGATGCCCACTCTAAGATTAGCATAAAGATTGTTTTGGTTTGATGTTTAATATTATAATCTCGATGATCTTTAGAAGAAGCTCTCTTGGTGGAAATATATACTTGGTAGTATGCTTAAGATTTTATGGTTAAGATCTTAATTTCTTAGATCTTAATTACAGATTATATGTAAAACTGTTAATGAAACATAAAATATCCTATTCTGCTAGTACAGTTTCTGGTTTTCCTTTTCAATAGTTAATAGTTAAATGCTATAATCGGCCTTTGATTATTTAGATTGCCTAAAGCTTATGAGAAACAGAGGTAAAGAGATCCTGTAAGATTTATTGTAACTTATTCCATTGTAACTTAAATAATAATAATGATTTCCATATTAAATAGCTTTAATATCTTACGGAAGATAGAGAATCCTTATAGATGAAATGTTTTCTCGCCGGATGGACGAGTTTGATTCTCCTCCTCGTCCGAGTCCAGAAAGAAGGTTGTCATGTACTCGTCCGACTGGGTGTGTTCGGATGTGGTTACTGAGGGTGTCCTTGGGCGGGGACGATGTGACTGGTTGCCCCAGGTTGTTTTTATTTCCGAGGCATGGGATTTCTTTTCAATACTGGGCCGTCGCTTCTTTTCGGCTGCGTCCTCGTAGTACTTGATGTAGGTGCGCATATCCTCTATGCATTTCTTCTCCTTTTGAATCTTCTGGTTGAGCTGAGCCTCCAGCTTGCAGTATCCCTCCAGCTGGAGCTTATGTTTCTCGTGCTTCTGCATCCGACGATAGAATCCCAGGTTGTCAAAAGTACGCTGCTCGTTTTGGAACTTGCTGACCTTGCGGTAGAGCTCCAGGAATCGGAGCGGGTCCTCAAAGTAATTGCCAACAGTACGTGGCATTTCGCGAGAGATCGGCACAGCCTTGAGTTCCCTCTTACAGATTATACACTTGTTTTCTGCCGAAAGTTCGTTAAAACAGGAGTTGCAAAAGACGTGCTGGCATCGAGTCATGTGGAAGATCACCGATGGCTCAAGGTCGCGCCTACGAAAGCACTGGTTGCAATGGACTCGAAACATAATAAAGAAGTATTGTTTCTTTCCAAAGTTTGTTGAAATCTCTTTATTTTTATGCGTCTGTATAAATCTAACGGTTCTTATCCTTCACGGTCTGGCTACTCTGTCACTTGGAAGTCCGGCAGCATGGGAAAGAGGAAAAATAAAATTACAGTGAACACTCTTTATGGTAAAATAATTGTGCTGTCGAGTTTTTCAGTTCATATATAATTTTTTATTTATTTTTGTAAAAAATTTGTATAAGCAAGAAAAGGTTCCGCCACAAATTAATTTAGCGTAAAGCGTACAATGTGGCATTTAAAAAAATTAATGGGAGTAAAACGTGCTTTTTAATGTAATAGCAAAACGAACGCTGATGTAATAACTTTCTTGATAACAGGTGTTTACTAAGGTATTTAAGTATTCAACTGACTTTTGACTTTTCTAAATAACCTCTTAAAGATTTAAACATGAAATTATTAAAAAAAAGCTTTGTATATTCTTCATTTGTGAAAAACAAAGTTTGTTTATGTTTTTTTCCAAATACAGTAGGGAAAGATCTTTAGCCTCTGAACATGTCAGCTGATTTTCGATCAGCGATGATGATTCCACCATACAAAGAGAGTTCAAAGTTCAGTTGTGTGCCGTATTTTATGAGCAACTAAACACTTATCAATAGCAGGCACTACTTAAAAACGTACACCACTTTCCATATAAAAATATATATAGTCGATTAATGCGCTGGGCTAATGAACTCTGGCGAATTGGACTGTAGAACCGCTCAAGTGGCCGAATATTAATCGAAAAGGTGTTGTATATTTAATTGCGTGCTCCTGATTTCAACACCACCCACAGTGGTCGAACTGCATTTTATTGATACTGATTGATAGTAACGCCTTCCCGATCTGATTCTGATTGCAGGGCACCTGTTATCATCGCTGGCCTGTTTCCCAACCTGAATCTGAGCTACCGGACGAGCTACCTAAGCAAGATCAACACCATTCGAAGCGATCTCCTGGTCACTTTGCGATCATCCAATGTAAGTTTCCCCGCCTATCAGGCACCCATCCTCCATTAACATTAACGTTAACCCCACAACGTAGTACACGATGTGACGCAATTGCAGGGAGTGACTAGTACCGCAGATAAGCGAATATTTCCACTCAATGAATTGTGAATTCGTATCTGCGATTGCAATTGAGTCAAAGTCCCCAAAGTGCTTGCATATTTTTGAAGATCGGAATCTTTTTGAAACGTTTAAGTGGTTATTAATTATTTTTAAACATTTGGTTTGGAATTTACGAATCGTTACTTAACTTTATCATACGGTTTTTAAATGTTTGTCACTTTTTGAATTTGAATGCGGGCGGCGTTGCCACCTCGTCCTGCCAATCGATAACAGTCCTGAAAGCTGACCAGGATATCGGCCGTCGATTTTCTGCGAAAAAAGCCGGGCGCATGGAAATGCGGAAAGTCTGAATTTGCAATTAAAAAGTGCCGTAGATTAGTTGAATCTCGTAGTTATAATGACGCTGGAGGAGTTTCACGCTCGCGGCTGGTTCGAGGTACCAATTTATCCGTAAACATACCGTCTATATGTGCGCCAGTTGCATCACAATCACAGCATCGTTTCGATCGTTTCTTTGCAGGAGCCCAAGACCCAGAACGCGGTGGCACATGGCATCGGGACGCAGAATATGTTGGAGCTGACCCCGCAGTCGGGTCAGAAGCCCTTCAAGAAGCTTTTCGACTGGGGTGTGCTGTTTCCGTATGTTGCTCAGGTGGTGCGCAGCGAGAAGTTCGAGTACCGACAGGTAGGTGACCCATTTAACCCCATCTAACCCACACTCACCTTGATTCGTATGTGCCAGGTCACCGAGATCGTGCACAACGATGTTGTGCTCAAGCACGCCATTAAACAGGCCGCCGAGCTGACGCTAAGGGAACAGCGTTACGCCAAAAATGGCCATCGACTACTCACGCGCAGCGCCAGTGGAGATCAGAAGGCGCAGGAGGAGGACGACGAGAAAAAGGGTATATCCTATCAGTCCATTCTGCGCAAACAGGAACAGCGCGCCATTAGCATCCTGAAGGACATGGGCTCTACCCTGAACAACAGCCTGTTGGCCTTCACCTCCTGGATACTCTACAAGCTGCTTCCGTGCTTTCTCTCCGGCGTCGTGACCAATACCAAGCAGATCGAGATGCTAAAAACTGCGACGGAACGTTCGCCGGGTACTCCGTTGATCTTTGTGCCACTGCATCGCAGCCATCTGGACTACATCATGGTCACGTGGATACTCACCAACAACGACATACGTAGTCCACTGGTCGCCGCCGGCAATAATCTGCAGATCCCCGTTTTCGGCGGACTTTTGCGTGGTCTGGGCGCGTTCTTTATCAAGCGCAAGATCGACCCAGTGGAGGGCAAGAAGGATGTACTGTATCGGGCTGCCCTCCACCTGTATCTCACCCACGCCTTGAAGCAGGGTCACAATGTGGAGTTCTTCATCGAGGGCGGACGGACGCGCACTGGAAAGCCGTGCATGCCCAAGGGCGGCATCCTCTCCGTGATTGTGAACGCCTTTATGGATGGCAGCATACCCGATGCCCTGTTGGTGCCCGTGTCCGTCAACTACGAGCGTCTCGTCGACGGCAACTTTGTGCGCGAGCAGAAGGGCGAGAAAAAGATACCGGAGTCATTCACTAAGGCCATTTCTGGCATTTGGAAGGCCCTGAAATCGAACTATGGCCTTATGCGCATTGACTTCAACGAGCCGTACTCCATTCGGGAGCTGGTCAACTCGTACAACAAGATAGCACGAGAGGATGGAAACAATACAAAGGTCTACAAGCCAGCTGCCAGGTAGGCTACTGTAAATTATTTATTATGGGTCGTCTTGTCTTGCAGAGGGTGTTAAATTCTATATGAGTTGGGTTTTCTGATTGCTAAATGTAAATGTTTGTTTTTCTGATTGTTTCCCTTCCTTACACAATGACAATTAGTTTAGTTTTCTAATTATTTACCTCTTATAATCCCATCTTTATCTTAGAGTACTGCAGCACAATCAGTCCACATCCTCGCTGTACGGCACCGATGTTGTATGCGAGGAGCACCGCAATCTCATCGAAAGCATCTCGCGCCAGGTGGTCTTCGACTGCGCCGCCGCCACCTCTGTGATGTCTACCAATGCTCTTGCCTTTTTGCTACTCACCCGATTCAGAAACGGCGCCGAGGAGCAGATTCTGGTCGAGGCCCTGGATGACTTGCGAAACTCTTTATCTGGCTGCAAGGACATGGGTTTTTCCGGAGAATCCGCGCAGATCCTGGCATATGCCTGTGACCTACTTGGTTCAGGTAGCTGATAGGCGGTTTTTTCATTTGGAGTCTTGCCTAATTCTATTTTAATTGACTAGGTCTTGTGACTCGCACTCGGGATGAGAACGGGCGTTTGTTGATTAGGGCTGTGAATTCAGTAGAAAGCTTTATTGAGCTGGCCTACTACTCAAACATGCTGACCCCGCACTTTGCCCTCAGTTCGATACTGTTGGCCACCTTCCACTCCCTGCTCCCAGAAACGGAGAACAAAAAAGAGGCTGGAGTGTCCCGCAAAAAGCTGATGGACACCGCCCTGGAAAACTGCCAGATCTATCGCTACGAATTTATACTGAACAAGCCGACTCAAGTGCTGGAGAGCTTACTGTACAAGCAGTTGGACGACCTCTTGATTAGTGGTTGCGTTCGGTCTGAAAAGGTAGCGTGTATATTATTTAATTTGCCAGTGGATTATTAACTTAGTTAATCTTCAATAGCTGCACAATGATGCGCCAAATGCGGATGAATGCAAACGCTTGGCCAACAGCCTGGCTGCAGACCTTGACGAGGACGACGACTACCTCCATGTGGGCAACGGCGATGCTGATGAGCCCAAGTTGCTGTTCGCCAGCGATACCCTGCCGCAGCAGCGCTACATCTGCGAGGTGCTGGCGCCCTTCGCCTGGACGTATGTGACTGTGGCGCAATCCCTGCAAATACTCCACCGAAACTCCATGTTGGAGTCTGAATTTATTAGCTTTGTGATTAACGATTTGAGCAGTAAGGTCAAGCGCGGCAGCTGCATCTATGGTAAAAGACTCTCTAAAAATCTATTATAACACTTGATATAAATAGACCTTTCTTTTAGCTGAAAGCATATCAACTGACTCCGTGCGCAACTGTCTGAAGCTGTTGGAGAAATGGTCTGTGATCGAGGTGTGCAACCAGCAGGGCATGCGCCTGATCTCACTCAACACGCTCTACGAGATGTCTCGGGAGTCGCTCAACGCGATCGTCAAGAAGATTGACGCAATTGTGCCAAAATTCAACTCTGGTTACTTTAATGTAACGCCCTAACTAATAATGGGGCTCGCTTTATTTTTGGCACCACTCTTTTTTATCCTTGTATAGTAGTGCATATCCACTTAAGTTTAAAGTGTGTACTCCTATTACTTAGACTTAGATATGTCTAGTTTTATAGTCATACGAGTTTATATATGCCAAAGTGCTAGCTTTACTGTAACTAAGCGACAAACAGTGAAATATGAACAAATTTCTAATGTATAATTTAAAAACATTTACTATGTGCCGCCTGAGGGCGGCAAGACAAACGAAAACAATACAATATATCATCTATACTGAACTGATAAATTAAAGTTTATAATTTTATAATATAGGTAAATATAACTTCTTACAATCTTCTCACTTTATTTTCACACCATCGATCTGGGGAGAAATATCTTGGTCTACTAAATATAGTTGTAACTAGGAAATAAATACATGTGGTACAAGTTATAAGTAAGAATCCAAATACAACAATATAATGTTTAAAAAAATAGAATGATTGTGTTTAAGCGATTATTGCTTTTAACTAATTGGCATTCATTGCTCTTTCTTAACTTCAATTGGCTCGTCGTCGGCACTAATATGTTTAACTTTTGGAGCCTTTTTAACCTTCTTGGCACCCGCAATATGAATACGAACGGTGGTAGCCTTCCCCCGGCGGAGCTGTTTCACCTTGGCACTGCTGCTCTTTCCCTTGCTTGTCGACGGCACATTCGTGTCCTAAATATACGTAACAAGAAGATATTATAGGCATTCTACAATAATGTTTGTTGACTAGCTTACCTTTGCTGTGCCATCTTTGAGCTTGCCACCGATCTCGCCGGAACACCGAGTTGCTCCACAAAAACAGACCTTCTTGCTGTTGTTCATTAGATCATCCCACAAGTAGTTAAAGGTGAGCTCCGTGTTCTGAAACAGAATTTATTCGGTACTATAAATAACATCCGACAAGTAGACCTTTTCTTTCTAACGTACCACTGGAATGTCCTTGATGGCAAACAAACCAACACGATGGATGCAGTTTACGGTCCACTTTTGGGTCTCGCAGTTGGGATCGCAGGAATGGTTCATGAAGCGAGCTAAGTTGCCCTTTGGTCCTGCATCGATAATAAAGTCCTTTTCCACGCCCAAAAAGTAATAGTTCTCATCCCGATCCCGCTGCTTTTGCACCATGCGTTGTTGAAACTCAGCATGGTTGATCACCTCGCCCACATACTCGATGACAAAATCACCCTGGGCAATGGGCTCACGGTTGACGAGTCCGAATCCCCGCTCGTTCATGTAAACTACTTCCATGCGTGGCGACTTGCGCGACTCAAACATTTGATTTTCGCAACGATTGCCAGCCTTGCAGTACTCTGGATTGCATTCATTGAAAAGCATGCGATTTAGGCAGCCTGATTCCTGCCCGCAGGGATGCTCGTCGCTCGGCTGGCAATAACAAGCACTCAAATCCTCGAGATTCTGGGAGAAACGAACTGGTGGAACCGCCTTGTTGGTCTTGATTTTCACATACGGCGGCGGATGGAGCTTATTGCCGCTTTGCCGACCAATGGCCTGTTCCTGACGTCGAGCTTTGATTATTTTCAGGAAGCGCGACGCCTCCTCCACGCCGGTGGTGTAGTTCCGGAACAGCTGCGACTTGGTCTTATGACTATCTCCCGTGTCCCCCTCGATGTAGAGGTAAACGCGTCGCCGGGAAATCCAGCCATGATCGTGGGTGCCAAAGAATCGTACGACAAAATCATTCTCTCCATGGGCTTTCTTCAGATATTGCTTGGTATTTCGGTGGGCGGCAGGATGATGGCCGGCCACCAGCGAAAGTTGTTGACTTAGCCCACACAATTTCGCCGTACAGCGGCAGTCGTCCGCTCTCGCACTCCTCGAGATGTAGCTCTCGTTCTTCTTAATTGGAATATTCCGGCAGTGGGCGTGAACAGCAATAGGGCACGTTTCGCAACACACCAGTTCTCCGCCCTTCACGCAGATGTAGCACCACAACACATTGACGTGTGCATCCGCCTTGGCGATGTTGTGTCGCGGACAGATGATATGGGTGGCATTCAACATCTGTGTGCCGGCTGGAATGCAGTGAGAGTCCTGGTGATAGGTGGCCGGACAGCGAACGCACTTGGCCAGTTTGGAGCTGCCCAGCTGCTGGAACTTGCCGCTGGGATCGTCCGAGACGCATGTGTGGCACACGTGCCGTGGGCACCGGGCCGAGAGTTTACTGCTGTTCGCCTGCGGCCAATACTTGCAGCAGCTCGTGTGGAACCTCTTGCCACACAGAGGCTGGCTACATGTCAGTAGTTTATCTTCGGTTAGGGTCTGTGGTGGTTCGTCCTCCTTGGTTGGTGTGCTTGGTAGAGCACTTGCTGGTGATTCAATTTGGTGGCAAATAACACAGCCTTCCGGTTCGCCAATGCTGCACTCGTGGCAAACGAGTGGAGTGCCACCAGTGGCAACACTTTGACATCAGCTGTTACATGGTCATCATCAGGACTGGGCGACTTCGATGTGGGCGAGACGACGGTGGCCTTTCTGCTGCCAATCTTGGGCATCGGAGCTCCTGTCTCCTTTCGTTCAAGGCAGTCGGCATGCAGCCAGCTGGAGCAACTGCGCGAACAGCGCACCAGATCGGAGCCCGCCTGGTAGCAGTATTTGCACACCGGCTCGCGGTTGAGCCCGCGGAAAAGGTACTTGCTGTCCAGCTGCAAGATATCTTCGACCACCTCCTCAATGGGCCGGTTGACGGGCTTTTTGGGTTTAGGCGCCTCAGTCAGGCGACGATCCGGTTCCGGAGGTACCGGCGTTGAACTGGGTGTCACCACAGGGGTCATGCTGCGGCGCACCATCATGCTTTTGAGACGATTAGAGAGCCGTTTGATTGTGCCCACTCCGTTGCTCCGACCCACCACCGATGAACCCAATGCCTGGTCCATCTCGCCGCTGGCAAAGTCACGTTCAAGCTCGCGTAACTGGATCTGCTTCAGGGACCAGATATTGCTGACCACGGCGAGCAGAACCTTTTCCACTTTTTCCTCGGAACGGTGCACCATCACGTATTCCTTGACGGCATCGAACAGTTGGCCAAACTCGGGATTTTCATAAATGGAGGACTCTGGTGTAAGGTTCTTTCCATGCTGGTTTCGGTCTGAAAAGGTGTCACTGCCATGGTGGTGCTGCCAGTATCCGCTTCGTTGCCACCGCTTAGTTTGCGACGCTTGGCCCGCTTATCGTTTTTGCTCTTTAGGGGCGAGAAAGCAGGGCTAAAAGGCGACTCTGACCGTTCCCGCTTCACGGCCACCAACTGCGTGACTGGTTTGTTGTGGAGGTTATCCGTGGAATCGTACAGACTGCTGCCCACGTCCGAAGTGTCCTGCATCATAGATTTGGTTCGGTTGCGCTTCTGCTTATTCAGTGTCCTGAAAAAAAAGGCAAAGGGTGAGCACATTATTGAGATAACCGTGGAAGACTTTTACTTACACCACACTCTCGTAGATCTGGTAGAATTTTTCGAGACGATCGGAGTACGGGACCTGGGACACAAGCTGGGCCTCATCGATGGCTTGCCGCCAGATAACCACCTTCGTCCGCTTGGGCACCATCTGTCGGTACTTTGCGCTCTTTGGTCCGTTCTTGACTCGCACTTCCTCGCGCTGCTCCTCAAAGGCCTTGAGCCCGGCGAAGGTCAGCAGATTCTCCGGCTTGATCCAGTTGCGACGCCCGTTGTCCGCAAAGAAGCGCACGTGCACCTGGATGGGCACCGTGGCGTTGTCCAGGGATGAGCGCTGCGGATGACTTGGCATGTTGCCCACAATCTGGCCAATCGGATCAGGACAAACCATGCAGGGCCAGAAGCAGTACGAGAAGACCTTGCCCCAAAACAGATCACCCACTTGGTAGGTGGGCCAACCGGGATCAGTGACTATGGACAGGCCTTTGGCGCTATCAATGCTCACGGAGGAGGGGGATTTGATTGACGTGGCAAGCGCAGTGGAGCTCAAGTCGGGGGGCGATTTCAAGTCTACCTCTGTGGAGGCGGCAAATGGGAGAGCGAATGTCAGTTCTTCAGGTCTTTTGTCCACGTCCGTTGGTTCTTCACTGAGAACTTGGATACTGGTTTCTTCTAGTTTGTTATCTATATCTAAGCTGGTAGTATCCTCTTGCTTTATAGGAACCTCTATGGCCGTTTCATGCTCAGCCTCAGTCTCTGATTTGATGGAGATCATCGAAGTTTCAGTGTTTGGTTTTGAGGATTCTTCTGACATGGGGACATCCCCATCGCTTGGCTCTATTTTTATAGACAATTCCTCTTCCAGGGTCTCTGTTTCCAGGTCTATGGACACTTTTGACTTCGACATACGCTTCATTTTACGCTGCTTGCGAACTGTTGGTCGAATAGCCACGTCTTCCGAGTCCGCCTCGAAGCCTGTGGTGTTGGGCGAATTGGCGCCGTTCTTGATCAGCAGCTTCTCAATCGGGCTCATGTAGGCCTTGCTGCTGAGCAACTGGGCGCCACCGCCTCCTCCTCCCCCGGTGGACCTGGGTGATGCATTGTCGCGGAACAGGGTCTCGCAGGTACTGCTACTATTATTTAGGGACGCCGCTTGGGTAACGCGTCGCCGCGTTGTGCGTATCGTGTCGTCGGAGTCGGAAAGCGGCGTGGGCGAGTTGGCATTAGCATAGCCAATGTATTTGGGGCTCAGGGCCGATTGCAAGTTGATAAGATCGCGTTTCCCTACAGCAGCACAAACACACGCGCACACAAAAGGCAAATAATTTAGCATATGGACGGCATAGGGCGGGGTATATTGCGCCATTGTAATACTCACGGTTCACCATGGTCAGACGCTGCTGTTTGGGTGTTGGCGTTTGCCGCTGCTGGTTTTCTACCTCGGACTCCTCCCCTGCCATCGCCACGACCGCGCTCTGTCCGGGATTGACTTTCACCAGTCGCCTTACGGGAGTACTGTTCCCGGCGTCCTTTGGCGTTGGGACTTCACCATCGTCTCCTTCTGTAGCCACCGACTCGTCGTTTCCCGCATCGGTGGCCTGGGGATCGGAGGCGGAATTGCACATTATATTGTCATGGGCAGCATCGCCCTCGATCTCGGAGTGCGCATCCGTGCTCAGCTTCATTGTGCGGTCCAGTTCAGTGGCGCCTAAATTAAAGCAAACACTACCTTAACAATTTCCAAGAACACACAGCGCTTCGCGTGCGCCAAAACTTCGATTGCAACCGTGGGCATCGCGGGAGTTATCGATGACGCAGTCGATGCATCGATAAATTCGGTAAAATATCGAAGACACGAACCTTTGCTCTGATTATCGATTGAATTTGGCAAGGACTCGCTTCGTGGCCCATGCAACGCACAGTGGGTGACAAAGTTGCACTTTGCTTAGCTATAAATGAAATACGTTTAATTTGTTCTTAGAAATATTATGTAATTTCGAATTTTTAATATTGTGTTTTGGTATTATGTTCCAGGCTAGAAACAACCTATAACTTAAGTTGTCTAAAATGAATACCTAACCTTTTCTTCCCTTATTAAAAGTAACATTTTCAAAACAATTTTCAGTCAATAATAGCCACAGGCACAACAAGTTTCTTCTGAAAATAGCTAAATCAGACTACAAAGTAGTAAGAGAGCATCACTAGTTGAACCAGACTGGTCTCACGAGCCAAACCAAGGCCAAACTCACGAGGCACGCCCACCTCTAGCGTAAACATATGTACATATCTGTGTAAACGCATGTAAAGGAAACGCGACGAATATCCTGGATTTCCACGACAGTCGAGGGTTTTGCGCCAAACAAAAGCACTTGAATCGCTGGGGCAACCCATCATGGACGACTTTATAAAGACGCTGATTGCCGAGGTCAAGTCTCAGGGCGTCTTCGATGAATTCCGCTTCAACTGCTGCCTGGCGGACGTGGACACGAAGCCCGCGTACCAGAACGTACGCAATCGGGTGGAGGCGGCGGTGAATGATTTCCTGGCCAAACAGCAATGGACGCCCGAGACCAACAAGGTCCAGCTGCGGGAGAGGCTGCGCAAGCACCTCCTAGAGTGAGTACACTTCTGGCGGGGATTAGGTAACGTAATCATCTCCACTATTCCAGCTCCGATGTCTTGGATAAGGGAGTGGACCAAATCGTGGACCAGGTGGTCAACCCCAAGGTGGCCACCATATTCGAGCCAAAGATCGAGAGCATCGTCTACAAGTACCTGGGCATCACGCCCCCGCCGCCGCCACCGCCGAGACCCACGATGCTGCCCGCTCCGCCTTTGCCGCCATTTGCTGGCCACATGAACGGCAGCGGTAGTAGCCTGCTAAATGTGGAGACCACCGCTGGTCTCCTGCCCACCGACCTGGAGCAGATCAGTCCGGACTCCGATCGAGCCACCGTCAAGTCGGATTTGAAGGATGACGAACTGCCGCCTGGCGTGGACGACGAGGATACCTCGCCATCGTACGAAATGGTGAACGAGGAGAAACCCCTTGTGAGCAAAGAGGAGCTGAACAATGGCTCGCTGAACAACTCGGATTCGGTGAATGGCGTCTCGCAGGCGTCGCAACTCTCGCAGGTATCCAGCGACAGCCGCCTGACCATCGCCTCCTCCACGGAATCTGTGACCGATGCCCAGCAGCCCACGACGGCACTCAACAGCGGAAACCCTGCCAACATATCTGAGGAGGCGCAGATGCCAAAGTTCAGTGAAAACTCCAGCGATGCAAGTGCCGGAGCAGGGGAGAATGGCAATCGCCAACTTCACTTTGACATCAAGCAGGATGCCATTACCTTCGAGGGTGTGTTTGCCACGTCCCACAAAAAAGTGCATCTAATCTCTACCATTGACATCTCTTGCAGGTACTGAGCGAAAGAACTCGGTGTCAGAGGACATTAACGGTGGGCCGGGGATTCTTTCCATCGAAGATGCCATTATGTCGGAGGTGAAGGCGAACATAGACGATGCCAACAATGCCAGCATAGAGTCTATAGTTGAGCCGGAATCCGTACAACCGCCAGCCCCTACAAGTATTGAGCCTCCTCCGCCAGCACCTCCACTAGAGCCCCCTCCTGCGCCACAACCAGTTGAGCCACCTCCGCCTCCACCTCCTGAAGTTGTGCCACCGCCACCACCAGCTGAAGTTGTGCCACCTCCTCCTTCAGAACCATCAACGTTTGAGCCACCTCCCCCGCCAGCTCCACCAAAAGTTGAGCCACCTCCAACGTCGCAGCCAGCAGAGAACAGTAATGGATCCGGTTCTGTGACGGTTTTGACTGCGACGCCCAAGGAGACTGAGAATTCAGATGTACAGCCCAATGCGGTGGATGCGGAAGTCAAAGAGGAAGATAAGCCCACAGCAACAGTTGAAGTCAAGGAAGATAAACCCCAAGAGCTCGCCCCGCCCCAAGAAGTTGATACACCTAAGGAAGAGGTTACCAAGTCGTCTGAGTCAACAGCGTCGCCTATATCTGTGTCTTCGCAATCAAAGAGCCATTCAAAGTCCAAGAACAGAGAGAAGGAGCGACGACATCATAGCCACTCAGATGATAAACAGCGTCGCAGGAGCAGGAGCAGAGATCGGGATCGTGATCGAGACCGCGACCGCAGTCGTGACAAATCTCACACCAAACATTCCTCAAGTTCCAGCTCGAAGCACTCCTCATCCCACTCATCGAGTTCCAAGCATAGGAGCAGTAGCTCCAAGAACGACAAGAACTTCTCGAGCTCATCCAGCCGCAGCAATCACGAGTCATCCTCTTCCAAGCGATCGGCTACCTCATCCTCATCTCGCCACGAATCCTCCTCACACAAAAACACAAGTCCAGTTCATCTTCATCAAGATCGGATCGAGATAAAGACAAGGAAAGGGAAAAGGATCAAAGTCGCAGCCACCACAGTAGTAGCAGTTCATCATCGTCGTCGAAAAGGAAAGATCATGATAGGGGGCGGGATCGTGATCGTAACAAATCAAATTCATCCGGAAGTGCGGAAACTAAAGCGATCCAGGACGATCACAACGAGAGCAAAGCGAAGCCAATCCAGCGCCGGAGCTCTGATTCCAATGATGAGGGTAAACCTCCCAGTTCCGGCGGTCCGGCCAAAATCTCCCAGCCCGAGGTTACTTCTGCTGCGGAGAAACCTGATGCGCCTGTGGAGAATGGTAATGGCACGAATGGAAACTCCAATGGAAGCAGCAATGGTGTGAGCGACAGTGCAGTAAGTGCCAGCAGTGTGATCATTGTCAGCGACATCCTGCAGCAATCGTCGACTAGTTTCATTCAGCTGACTGCTGGTTCACAGTCTCACAAGGTAGTGGAGGATAGAGGAGAGGAGAGTAAGCCTGAACCCGAAGATATTGACGGAAAAAAAGCAGACAATCAGCCAGAGAAGCCAGAATCGATGGACTCTGCTTCGCAAGATGAGGCACCAAGTGTAGAACCTCAAAAAGCTGACATAGCTGAGTCCGTACCTGATTCCAATGTCGAGGATAGCAAAGAAGGCGATGGACTAGAAACTGAACCAGTGGAGACCAATGAAAAAGAGAATATGCTTGCTGAAGAAAGCATACCCGAGAATCCTGTAGATATTGTAGAGACCACCAGTCAACTAGAGGAACTACCGAAAGATGATGCAACACCCGCCACACAATTCCCAGACTCGAATGAGCAAAGTGACGAATTAGTCGCCGACTTTGTAACGCACTTCGAGGAGAACACAGACGAGTTCAAGGCGCGTCTGCAGCTCATCAGTCAGCTGATAGAGGATCGAAAGAATTTGCTCAACAGATTGAGCGCTGATGGATCACAGGACGAGGCGGTGGATGTACGTGCTCTGCGAAGGAGCATATCCAAGCGAAGGCGGAGCAGCCTGCAGGAGCAGCAGCATGTGGTGCGCGAGTCGACACCGGCGAGGCTCTGTAGCCCGAGCAGCAGCACCTCCGGCAGTCCGGCGAAGAGGCTACGACGCGATGAACCCAAGTCGTCGCCCACACCATCCGACGCCAGTGTAAACTCCAAGGAAAACGAGGCTTTGGAGAAGCAGGAGCATGGTGCGTACTGTATCATAGCTAACTATCATTTGGTCTAGCAATTTAGTGGGTTTGTGAACATGTGTTCCAAGAATCGCTCTATTGCTAACCCACTTAATGGGGTGGATCGATTTTACAGATAATTTTATATATTTAGTAGCTATTTTTAGAAAACTAACATTTCATTACTTCACATTTCGGTCATAAATCCGTTTTATATATAATCACGCGAATCCTCGATGAAATAGAGAATCAAAATTACTGATGAAATAAACATATCACCCAGATATCAAAACTGTAACCCCCACAAATCGATCCACCCTGTGGTTGTGATATTACATATCTCATGCTCATCCTCATTGTTATCTCTACCGCCTCTACTTTCTCCTCCACATGCATCCACATTATTTATAAATTAATATAGCTGTTTGAAGCCTCCGCTAGTCCTATCCAAGTCTAAATTGTGCTGGGTAAGCGGTTCCCAGACTTCCTGTTGCCCACTCTATGTTGATTGCTTCGAGCGTTTCCGGGAATGCGTGTGATTAATGTGCTTGTTTCTTCTGCAGACGCTCTGTCCGCCAGGCGACTCAGCAAGAAGCTCTGCCAGCAGCAGCGGTACACCAACGATGATCTCTACAAGCCCCGTCCAATACTGTCGCAGCGCTCTCGTCGCCGGGGCCTGGATTCAATCCTCTAGCTAACGATCGAACTGTTATCGGAAACAATAAAAAAGGCAATTGTTGTTAATGCATTTGACATAAAACAAATCATCTCTTCTTTCATCCGTGTTTAATGGGCCTTTTCGCTTGCCAATGGTTTTGCGCTTCCGCTTTGTTTTCGTTTGAATTCTTTAACAATAAAATTTTAATTTTAGAGCTACACCTTACAGTTTAATAATCGCCGGTGTAGCATATCCATATATATATATTATGCATATATATAAACAAAAATAACAGTGAACGTAATAATATGATGCGTTATTGTATAATCTGGGGGATTCCGGTTGTCCCTAACCCCGAAACCAGACTGCGATTGCTACTCAAGGGATGAAAACTCTAGCACTGAGACGAAAGATAATGTGTGATGATCGATTAAAACCCTGGATTGAAAAAACGTACAGCTATTAGCAATCGCAGTCGAGTGACAGGAATGGGGATAACCGACATAGCTAGGCTACTACTCTACGATTGGGGCTGGCTAGTTAGTATCGGTATGGGGTCTAGATTCGGCCATCTGGGGGAGACGTAGTTCTCTGGGAGCTGTAGCTGCGGTTCGTTATATATTTTTTGTAACATCTCAGTTTGAAGATTTAAGGTGTAATTGTATTACAAATTATTGAATTTTCTTCTCTTCGCGCGTGTGTGCTTTACATTTTTGCTCTTGATTACTTTACAACGATCAACATAAATATATGCATATATATATACTTTGAAACTTGTTTAAAAAAATATATATAAATGTAGTAAATCAAAGGTTGTAATACATAGGTAATAGTATTTTACAGAAGGTTTTCTCATTTCGAAATAACATAGATACAGTATTATCATTAGCATATACTTTTAACAAGAATTTCGCACTTTGCCTAAAACTGTCTTTGTGTGTGGGGGTGTGTGTGGGGTGGTGTGAGGTGTAAGGTGTGTGTTTGTTGTGTGTGGAGTTTTGCGTGTTGTGTGTGAGAGCGAGAGTTTTGTGCAGAACAACAACTACGATTTAACCTCCGACTATGGAGTGATAAAACTCTCTCACCGACTCCTCGCAGAGTATTCATACAAGCAGCTGGGTTCGGGTGGGCGTGGGCTGAAAGTGGGGTGGTGGCCAGGCGGTGGTCGGCGGAACGGCAGGCGTTTCGAACACCGTGTCGTCCACCTGCCTGCTCAAAAAGGCCCCCACAATCGCACCCCAGCTTCCCCGATCCCCACCGCCAACTAATAGCTACGCTTAGGTTTAGCTGTCGCTGCTGCTGCAAACGTTTCGAACGCAGGCCCCGCTCGCGGCCACGCCCACTGGCGCCGCCTACGTGCTGGAGAAGCCCCTCTCGTAGGGACTCTTCACGTCCGTGTGCCGCGTGTGCAGGTTGATTGTTGGCCCGGCGGGTCGCGTCGACAGCTCGCACACCGTCTTGATGGCACCGGAGGCACTCACCGAGGGCGGGGCGGGGTGTAGGGTCGCTGCGGTGTCCTTCTCCTTCACCGACTCCCGATCCTGATCGCCCTGCTCCTCGGCCGCAGTCGTGGGCAGCACGTACTCCGCTTTGCGGGGCTCCGAGCGGCCCGTAATTGACGATTTGTACTGGTCGGCGTCCAGGCCGCACAGGTAGAACTTAAAGAACTCGTAAGTTGACCAGCAGATGGCCGTGGCGGGCATGGAGTAGAGCACGCGGGCGGTCATGCCTCTAAAGAAGCCCAATGGACCAGCCATGTGGTAAATCTGGAAGAGGTCAAAGGGCATTAGAAATAAAGTTAGAAACTTTATATATTTGAAGAAGATGATGATCTTAGGGTTATAGGTTCAGGCAATTAAAAAGTATTAAAAGATAATCTAAAGCAATTATAAGACATTTTTGAGAGCAAGGTGACTCTAAAAATAAACAGGTTCTACCCATTTATATTACTTCAAAACGATCATTGTAAAACATAAACCAAATTGAAGGGGCTCTTAACTTCACAATGCCTCATATTCTTATTGTATGATATTCACCTTTCGGCTGGCCTCGATCATGCCGCGCGTCAGTCCAGTCTCCTGTGTATTCAGTAGCGTCTTGATCACATCCAGGGGCGTGGTGATAGCCGCCGCACAGGCGCCAGCCGCAGCACCCGCTGCCATATGCACTGGGGGATTGTATTTGCGATCGATGTTCAACTGCATTAAATAATAATGTTATAAATATATGAATTTCAAAGTATAAACGAATTGAGGTAAACTTACTGTGTTCTGGAAAAACTCATAAGTGGTAAAATGTATTGTCTGATATGGTAAATTCATGACCAGTTGCGTGCCGTAGGCTCTGTAGAAGGCTTTGAAGCCCTCCTTCTTGTAGATATCCCGCACGCAGGATATCACCGATGTGTAGGGTGAGTTGTACATCTGCATTCGCTGCTTGATCACATCCGTGGGACTAGAAATGGCGTCATGTATGAGGGTGGCCACCACTCCCGAAATCACTGCAATGGATTCGGTACATTAGGAACCATTGTCGCTGATATATGTACTCCCTAAAATTACCATAGTTGAGGTTTCTCACTGATGTGAACTTGGCCGTGAGCTCCTTGGTCATTTCGTAGGCAGCAAAGTACAGCGAATGCGCTGGACCAGCACCCAATACTACAGCGCTGGCTCCCCGAATGGGCCTGTAAGTAACAAAATATATTTGAATGGATCTGTCATTTGGTATTTTAGATATGTGACTACTAACCTTAGTATGCCCTCACGGGTGATCATGTTCCGAAAGGTTGAAAGTATGTTCATGTTTTGTGTGGGCGGCGAAAGGCTCTGCATTCGCGTCTATAAATGGTAATAATAGAACGTTTAATATAATTGTGCCAATATTTGCATTGTGCATTTAACAATGGGTATTCTGCAGTATTTGTTATTTAATTTACCCATTGTTTGTCCTAGATTATACCGGGTAGTTAACCGGTATAAGTGATTCGTCAGAATTACTAACTCGTTTCTCTCGCGTACTATCAAAAACTCAAATGAAGTCTAGGGAAGTGAAGTGAGTAGACTCTCTTTTTATTGTTCTTCTGCAAGTCACGGTTACTCATGAAATATAATAAAGAATACAATTGTGGGGGGTGTCCAATATTCTGCTTTTCCGCTGACATTGTCAAGATCTCAGAACGTGCTCTCATCATGATTTGTTGTTCAGAATTGATTGGGTGGTTCCCGAAACTATTTTAATCTTGCACTGCAGTTACGGTCTTTAAGAAATGTGAGGCGTTGTGCAATATGTCAGAAAAAAGAGCGAGGTATTATTAAAAACTACATTAGATCAGCCCAAAAAATAAACTAATTTAAACTTTAATTAAAGCTGTCATAGTTTTTCAGGGTTTGTCCATGAATAGGTAGCTCGGTCTACAATCGGTTAACAACAGCAGGGACTAATAACCGATATCAATGGAATATAAAAGTATATAATTGTGTGTTTGCGGGGGAAAACTTTCGCTGATTTATAAGCAAGTCACTCGGGGCCTACAGATTTGCAATTGTCTACGTAGTTTACGATTACACATGATGTACATTGTACATACGTATCTATATATACTTAATTGCATTTATTTAAAGGCGTGCCTGTCGGGCAGGCAAACCAGATAGAATTATATCTAAAAGCGGAGAGCAGCATCCATATTGTAAATCATGGAGACGTTGGCTTTGCGATGAAGATAAGATTTCCTGGAATACGGCCCAAATGCATTTATCTATCTGCTGGCTGGGTGACTGCTATCAATAACAAGTCGACAAGGCAATTCAAGGTGAAAAACAGTCTCTCAAGTGGAGGAAACCTAATTAAAAAGTACTACGACAAACTGATAGAAGTCTCTATTACATAAATTCTCGATAGGATTGGCTGCGAGGAGATGTGGGGCCAACATGATTCATTCATCCCGATAATAAGTACCCCTGATAAGGGGCACAAAGTGTGAAATCAGAATGACAGTATTTATTTATAAACCATCGCGAATAAAAGCGCCTCAATTGCTGGTCAATTAAAGGTTTTCCGTTCTGGCTTTCGTAACTCCACGAAATTAGTTCGTCAATCGGACTGTGGAGGGACTATAGATTATAATGATGACGCCGGGAATACCGGTCAGGCTTTAAACTGGCACCCAACTGCCTGCCGGCTGTCATTTGCGCGATTGACACATGTGGCCACGAAAATCAATAAATACTCGAGCCACCGACCAGCTGAGTGAAATATAGCGAAACAAGAATCGGTCAATAATAGGTATTCTAGGGAGGGGGTATATAAACCTATATACCTATGTACATATTCACATTTATCGGGCGAACATCATTACGAGGTAGCAATGGCACATTTGCATGTAATTAAGTAAGTAGCAACCATATGTACTTGGGTCTACCGAATTTTCAAGTGAACGATCAGAACTCTACCGATAAGAGATAGTCCATCCATTTAGACAGAGAAACGACGGGGGCTAATCTTATCGGCACAGCATAAACCAATGGAACGTGCTCCGATAAGCGCACCGAGCGGCTATACCACCTAGAGCTCTTAATGGGAAATGGGGTACGGAACTCTTGGTTGCACTCGAGACCCGAGGAATTACATCACGATTATGCCAAAGCAGCGGCGGCACACACAAAACATTCCGATTGTTAGTGAGGTTAGGTTTATGGCCTTAGGGTCGGGGGGTGCTGCTCATTATGCTCGTCCTCCGATTACCCGGCGGCGGTAATGCTCTCTCACCTTGACGGAGTCCAGCGGATACATGACCACATGCTCCAGTACGCCCGCAATAGCGCCCGCCGTCATATTGACACCCACACTGGTGGTGGGCAGCGATTCGTAGTCGTCTATGTTCATGGTGGATCCGATCCGGCTGTGGCGGTGATGCAGCTATACTACCGATGGTGTGCGAATATTGCGGTTGTGCCCTTGCAGTGGCTGCTCCTCTTACGATGACCTGATAGTCCGGACCAGTTCTACCAAGTCAGGTTTCAGTTGTAGAACCGCTTTCTCCGCTGGGATCGGGTTGCTCCGCCAGGCGAAGATGGGCAATGATTTACGGGGCGACTTTTAGCCGGCGTATGTTGAGCACGGAACAATTTTGTTGTATAACACGGATATCACGACGATTCACGGGTGGGCGGGCGGTCGGTCGGGTGTTCGGGGGGTGGTGGTGGTGCAGAGCGTACGCGTGAGGTGGTGTTATGCGAAACTACTAATTGACACTGCGGCTACTGCCCTGCTGGTGCTATTGCTGCACCACGACTAGCATATATTGACTCGACGATATGGACGACACGCTCCCCGATTCACTCGATTTCGGAGCGAAGAAGAGGTTTCCGTTTTCTGCCCGCGGCCCCTGATTCGGATGAACTGCTACTGCTGCTGCGGATCGGATGGTTTCTGGATATATACGAGTCGGTTGGAGGCAGATTAGGTTATTGTGGCCGAAACGGAATTTGGGTATGGTCGGGTCGGTGTTTGGCAACTCACGCAAGTGTTGTATGATTATGATTACAGGGAATCATTAAATTTTGCCCAATAAACAAGCCTCGTGCTAGAGGCGGAGAACCATCGATGCCGAAATCGAAGTCATCGATATTTTCGAAGCATCGATATTTGGGCGGGCATCTTCGATGTTAAATCGATGTTTGTTATTATTAAATAATAAAAGAGAACTATTATTATCCTAAAAAGTAAAGAGCACACTTTTAAGTATTCAGTTTTAATAATAATATTTCCGAAATAATTGCTTGTTGTTTGATTCTCACACTTAAATTCTATTGTAAACGAATTAAAATATCAAAGAACTGGAACTACTCCAGTGGTAACACACACGCGTTAGCTATCGCGTTACTCCAAAGTACCAACAGTGGAAACAAGTCGAAAGCTGTACAATTTTTATCGATAGGCTTTCGGCATTTTTCGAAGACTTCGAAAATTCGAGTCAAAATAAAGCCATTTTGTTTTATTACGCGCGCAACGTAAAATTTAAATTAATCTAAACTAATTAATTATTAAATTATATTAATGGGGCCAATATGGAGGTAAATAATTGGACTGCCTTGAAAACGTAGCTCTGTAAATCACATTACCAAAGAACGACTCATTAAAACCACATTGGCTAAATAGTACACACAATCGTTTATTTCGTTCCTTTTTGTATGGCAAAAATTAATACAAAAAATTAAATATTAAATGTATGTATGTATGTATAAAAAGCTTAAAGCAAACTATATAATGTAAATTTAATTGGCTGCTTGTTTTCTCTCCGGTTGATCTGTCAGTATGGTAAGTAGAAAGAAAGGCATATTCTGAAGAACTCATGCGGATTTTAACTTTATCGTCTTAGCACCACAGAAATGTGTTTAGCCCAACAGAAATCTAGTTTGGGGCTAGCGAATTCTCTCGTTTGTGCGAGCTGTGAGCTTATCGGCTGTTTGTTTGTTGCTTCCCTAATTGTGAAATGAATACAAATACTAATGGAATTCTGCTCGTGCATGTGTGCGGTAAAAGATTGTATATGGCGACGGGTAAAAACCAATTGATAACAGGGCTCGAAAAGTTTACAATATTTGTTTACATCGCGATTCGGGTTCAAACACGGACTATCTGGTAAAGTACAAACAACATAGAATCGAGTTTAGTGCTGGTTGAAAACAAACGGATATAGCAGCTGAACCAAGGCAGTTACAACAGTATTCATAGTTTTTATGTAGAGGTACATATTCATTTTCATTTTCGATTTGCTTCGTTCGTTTTTGTTTGCTTGTTATTGTTAATACTCTTAAAAGGGCGCCTCGCAGCCTTTCAAACGACACAAAACACACACATTCACAAAATCATTTCGACGTACATAAAACTCTAGTTACTTAAATTAATTACAATTTCTCTCTTTTTATCTGACAATTGCACCGACCAACACGCTCCCACATGTGTGTGTTTTTCGAATTGTGTCCGTCCAGAATGGACAAACCATCGATCCCGAGACGATCGGCGATTCGCCGACGCACATACAGACAATCAGGCGACATTTGATGAAATAAAAAGTGAATAATAACCGATGCGAGGCCGTTTAGAGCATTTTACATTTAAATCTGCGATTCGGCTTGTTCATTTTCCGACCCCTTCGTCCCTTGTTGTCCTTGTCCTTGCGGATTTCGCGCACCAGTGTGTAAAATGCATCGTCCACGCCCATGCGCGTCTTGGCGGATGTCTCAATGTATGGAATGCCGTACTGTTTGGCCACCTAGGAAGCGAGATAATGATTGGTTTAATGAATCATTAAGAGACCTCTGCCTGAACTCACCTCTCTTGCCTGCTCGTTGTTCACATTCCACGAGGCCAGATCACATTTGTTGCCCACCAGCACCATGGGCACCTCCTCGGCGTCCTTCACCCGCTTGATCTGCTCACGGTAGGTGCCGATGTCCTCGAAGGACTTCGCACTGTTGACGGCAAAGACCAGCAGGAAGCCCTCGCCGGTTCGCATATACTGATCCCGCATGGCCGAGTACTCCTCTTGGCCGGCGGTGTCCAGGATGTCCAGCAGGCAAGTCTCTCCATCTGCAGGGGAACAGGAGAGCATTAGAATCGGTTTCACTTACTTAAGTTATACTAGAAACGATTGTCCACGTGATTAGTGAATTTGCAAGGGGAAACCCAAATCAGCAGGTCTTCTATTGACCTAGAGGTTTGAAATCCCCTTCCGGCGGCCGCTGCACCCTTTATAACCAGATTTTGGAGTACTCACCGATAACCACTTGCTTTCGGTAGGAGTCCTCGATTGTGGGATCGTACTCGTCCACGAAATGGTTCTGGATTAGCTGGATGGTGAGCGCGGATTTGCCCACGCCTCCGGCACCGACGACGACCAGTTTGTATTCCGTCATTTGGGATCCGTTTTCGATTGCCCGTAGTCGCTGTCGCAGTCGCAGTCACAGTCGCACTCGCGGTCACAGTTGCAGTCACAGTTTCTCTCTCGCGATCGATGCTTTACTCTCTTTTGCGAGCGCCCGCAGCTGCAGTCTCTCTCTCCGTGCGCTTGTGTGGGTGAATGTGTGTATGGTATGGGCTGCAAGTGGAGTAAATTATTAATTAAGATTGATTAAAATAAATTAAAGGCATAATTAGGCAGGAATTAATGCACGTCACTGAGTCACTGCGACTGGCGCTTACTAGCTCACTCGCACACACGCACTGCATGCACACAGCCAGACGGGCAAAAAAAAAAAAGCGAAGAGATCAATGACTCAAACTGAAAATTAAACTTGGGCGCTGCAGGCCCTTAATGCAAATTTACATCAAACTCTCACAGCTTAGGCGTTTTTATTAACCAGGCGGCGTTGTTTTTCGCGTTTCTCGTTAGTTCTTATTTTTCCTTTTGCCTGCGGACCTTCTTTGTTGCTGCCTTTTCAGCTAGCTCCTCCTTGTTTTCCGCTCCTCTCTCCCTCTCTCGCTCTGGCGCTCGGCGCAGTTGCTGGGGCGCGTTTCACGTCACGTTCGCGGCTAACGGTGCGTCGGGCGGTACTCCTTTTAATTTCCGTGCAATTCCGTGTAATTGCAATTAACAGCACAGGAAAACAATAAATTCGTATATAAAATGTAGATGAAATCTACAACAACAAATCTAAAAACAGCAAAACAGAGCAGGAATTCTCGGAGCGGACGTAAGAAAACGTAAGTGTCGGCCGAACGTAAGTGTCAGTGAAAAAGGGAGACAGCCTCAGCGTAAGTGTCAGTAAATATATATATCGTATATATCGTATGAAATCTAGGCTGTACGTTAGAGGTGGACTGTTTGACTGTTTGGGTTTGACGGGGTTTGAACTGAACCGAACTGCTGTGCGCGTGTTACGTAGTACGTAAGTGTCGTGAAAAAGCGAGATGCAAGATGCTTCGTAAGTGTCAGCAAAACGTAAGCCAACGTAAGTGTCAGTGAAAAAGGGAGACAGCCTCAGCGTAAGTGTCAGTAAAAAACGTAACGTAGAGAGAAGAGATGAAATCTAGGCTGTACGTTACGTTAGAGGTGAGGTGCAGAAACATCGAAGCGTCGATGGCACCAAGCCGATGCCACTATCGATATCGATGGGTGGTCTCTGGCCGGCACTATCGATGGATTGGGACTATTGGGGCAGAAAAGCTTTTTAATTTGTTTTCGGATTCAGTCGGTTATTATGAATATTTTGCTTAAAAGCAAAAATCTCGATTATAAACTATTTAGTAAAAATAACCATCTTAGTTATAAACCAGGTTGGCATCTCCTTGATAAACAGTTCTTAGCCCGGACGTAAACCTGTGCCTCCTAGATCGCCCACCACTGTTACGAAAACAGCATGGACAGACTGAAATTCAACAACTTGGTAAATAATTATTTTTTATTAAAATTAGTGCTTATTTATCAATGAGAACTCGCACAGGTGATAACCAACAAGAAGGGGATCCAAAAGGCACGCGCCCAGACCATCGCCAAGCTCGTCCAGAAGCTGCGAAAGACAAAAGATGTGCTGGCCAAAAAACCGGACAGCGACAAGGAGAAGATCCGTCTGCGCAAATATAGCGAATGCCTGGCCCAGCTGAAGGCCCTGAAATGTTTGGACCTAGTGCGTGAATGTCTCCTCCAAGAGGGCACCAATCCTAATGCGGTGCTTGCCAGCGAGCGCTCCACTCCGGATGAACTGGGCATCGCCATGCTGCGGCTAAACAAACTGATGCACGGACTGATGGACACGTTCGTGAAGGCTCTCGAGCTGAGCACCGACAAGGAGGCCAAGTGGCGGGAGGAGATCCTGGAGACAAGCAAGCGACGGGCCAAAATCGAACGCACTGAGGAGCGGAAAAGAAAGCGCAAGGAGCTGAAGGAGCAGAAGGCTCTAACCAAGAACAGATTGGAGTGGTTGGAGCAGAACAAAGTGGCGGGTTCAGAAGTTCCATCAACGGCAGCATCGGAGGATACTACTTCTGCGGTTCAAGTCAGCCAGGATGAAAAGCAAGATATCTCCGAGACTCCAGCCAAAACAGAGAAGCCTGCAGTTCCTAACAAGGAAAAGAAGGATAAGAAAATTGCCAAAAAAGAAAAGATTATAAAGAAAGATAAACCTCTTGTCAAAAAGGATGAGAAGCCAAAACCAGACATCCCTAAGCCAGTTCCCAAAACGGAATCTGTAGAAAAAGTCAAGGAAAATAACACAAAACCGCTGCAGAAACAACCACAAAAAGAAGTCAAACCGAAGGAACCTAAGCCAAAACCTGTGGACAGAAAGCCAGTCAGAGAACAAAAGCCTAAGCCTCGACCAGAAAGGCAGCCTAGCATTGAAGAAGACGAAGATGAACCCAAACCTGACAGCAATCGTCCCACACACGTAGTCGATCCCTTTTTCATCACGGAATCAGGGCAGCCCTACTTGTCCACCGCCGTGGTTCTTTCCGGCGACAATGACAGCGAAGCTGAAGAGGAACAGAGACCGCCGCCAGTCAAAAAGATCCGCAACGAGGATCGACGGTCAAATACATACCGGGAAAGACCGGAAAGACAGCCAGAGTTCAAAGCGAAAAAGCCAACCGACGACCGTCATCCTTCCTGGCTGGCTAAGCAGCAGCAGAAACCAATAATCGGTGGTTTCCAGGGCAAGAAGATAACATTCGGCGATGATGGCCAGGCGGCAAAAATTACGGCTCCCAGCATCAATCTTTCGAGTTCCACTGCTCCTCCTTTATCCACCGATGGCATGCACCCTTCCTGGGTGGCCAAGCAGAAGTTTAAGCCCAAAATCGCAGCCTTCCAGGGCACCAAGATTAAGTTTGACGACGAATAAAAAATGTTGACGGTATTTTGTTGTTTTAATCACTAAATAACTGCAATCCTCTCCAGATCAGACACCAACTTTGGGCACATAGTGACCACGAATCTTGTCCTCGTTGCGCAGCTTGTCCACGTTGACGTCGGGGAACTGGCGACGCAGCGCATCCAGGTCGAAGTTGGGATTGCGGCGCAGGATCATCATGACTTCGTTGCGGGAACGGCTGAAAGTGAACAAGATTTTAGCTGAAATTCCTGACTAAGATTAAAGGCAACCCACTTCTTGGCCTTGCGCTTGGCATTGTACAACTTCTCGCGGTACTTCAGCAGGAATCTGTTTACAGCCCGACCTCCAAAGCCAATGTTGCGGGATTTGATCCATTTGAGGTTCATGAAGGGCGGCAGGACGTGTTCGCAGCTTCTGTAGTTGACCTGCAGTCCAAATGCATTCTTCACGGCCTTCTGGGGCCGCTCACCGGTTTCTCCGGTCTCCAGCAGGTGATAGGCCTTGTTGCGTTCCCTCACCACCGTCTCCAGGTTCTCCATGGAAATTTTCACCTGCAAACAAGAGTCATACATAAAGCTCTCGGGGATCGTGTGACAGCCTACCTTATCGATGCGCTCTGGACTGGGAAAGACTTCCATTTTGTCGTTGCACTCGTGCTCCATTGTCATCAGCATGTTGCGCTCCTTGAGGAGCACGTACCACAGCTGGTGTAGCTCCTTGTTGGACTTGATGCGCAGCTCCTCCGTGCGCCACGCGCGTCCCACCTTGACCTCGTTCTCGCTCCAGTTCTTCTTGTCGTCGAAGAACTCCATCAGATCCCGGCGAACGGGGGAGGTGTGCATCTGCATGGCCATTGGAGCATGCGGCGTTTGCAGGGCAGCCGCACTACATATTACATAAAAACAAATACGCGTTTCTGTTAGTTATCCTGTATGAAAGTCGGTTTTGTCTGAGCGGACGCACCTGCAGGCCTGCCAAGGCTGCTTGGGAGCGGCCAGAAAGCTCTTGACCGTCGCATTTCCCACAGTTTTAGCCAAATTAAAACATTTTATTAACGCCGAAGACATTTTTCCCACCGAACAGCTGTTAGAGCTGGAACCACAATCGATTGTTGTTATCGCTGGTTTGGGTACCCACTAATCTGTTACCAGGGCACCACACCCTCCAAGTCCCAGTAATCGATGGTATCCCCTGGCTATCGCCTTAGTTCCAGTTCTAGTTGCTAATGAAAAATCGAATTTTTCGACTCAAATCGACTGAAGTTTACACGGGCAAAGTATTACAGAAGTTAGACTGAAGGCGTTACACAACATGCAATAAGTAAATGTAAGTGAAGTGGCCGCTCCCCGAATAAAGGCGGAGCTATCAGTAGCTGGACATTTCGCTTGTTTGTTCTATCCCAAATCCACTTTGTATGCAGGAACGCCAAGTTTTCCGTGTGACTGTGTGTGTGTGTGCGTGCGTGTGAGTGTGCTGGTGTTTGTAGCATTCAGTACACAAATTTAAATTGATAAAACTCGACAAAGGCAGCGGTTCTGAATTGCAACGAGTGCATTCCCTGCAGTGAGCCAAGTGCTTATTAATTGTGCATTTATCACAGCAAATTTGAGGAATTTGCACCTCTAAATAGGCGAGCCAAAACAGATTCATTGAACGAGACGAGGGAAAAAAACAAATCTAGAGCGATGTAGTAATTGGACAGTGTTGCCGAGCTGCTACGAATTGTTAGTGTGCAGTGCAGTGTGGCTACATAAATATTTATCTCGCCGCGTTATCAGGCAGCATTATTATTGAAGAAGAGCAGAAAAAGTGTATATTTGGGCGTTACAATTGTTTATTGGATGTGCGGTGGCGGTTATATAAAAAGCAGACCTTCATTGAATTAAAAGGTCAGCGAGTGAATTGATTGATCAATTTGGCAAGGGGTGAGGGGGTTGGGGAAGAGGGGGAGTATCTTGTAGGGTTTTCTTTTCTCGCCTTCTCTGCTTCCTGCTTTTCTTCTCATTTCTCTCTTCCCGCTTTTCGTAAGGCTTTTCTGCTCTTCCACGGTGAACGCCCAAAAACACAAACAAGTCTTTATGTTTGTAGTGTAGTGTCGCTATGTGTGCGTTTTTTTTGCTTCTGGTTTTTTATTTTTCTGTTACTGGGGTTAATTTCTCGGTGTCGCCTCAATTATCCGGCCTCCTTGCATTCCTCCAGTTCGCTTTGCTGGACTTTCGGTGACACTTGTTGCCCCTGCTAACAGAGCTCTTGTTCCCTATACCAAATCCTCAATCCCAAACCCCTATTTACAGATCTCTTGGTCCTCATACCGAATTCCCAGTCCAATCCCCCGGAAACCTTGTCATATCGTGCGATAACCTTTCGTTTGCGTCCCATTTGATTATCATGGTCCTAATAGAAGTAACAACAAATAGCGGAATATTAGGTTCTCCAAACTCATTCTCACAGATTCTAGAGGGGCTTTATCAAGTATTCCTCCAGTTTTTAGTTTGCGACGCCCATATTATGGCGATAAATCGTACATGTGGCTTTTTTATGGACTGTGTTTATCTTTAGCCCTGACAACTCATAATCGCACATGTTCAGTTTTTCCAAAAAAAATTTATAAAATGGCTTCGACTATATATACTATAAAATAATTAAAGCACTAATACTTACATATAACTGGTAGAAATATCACTGTAACTATGAGAACACACTCTAA